ATCCATTTCTATTCGAAACAACTGGACAGATCTATGAGTATATCAGCAATGGACACATACTTCTCTCTATAGTAGTCAGATTCAAAGGAAAACACAAATATTTTTGTTCTCCATTGAAATCTTCTAAACAACTTATAAGATTTGTGCGTTAAAAGAGAAGGAAATCATATTATTTTCATTTTTACCAGCCAAAAAAAGTGATTACATTTTTTTGTTTATTAACAGGGATTTTTTTTAAACTATAAGGAATAAAAAAAATTTCCTAAACACGGAGTTCATTTTCTTCCAGTGCTTTTTTTTTAATTTGGAATGGTTTTCCACCAGAATAATTATTTTAATTTTTATTAATTATTCATTTTAATCAGCTTTATTGTGTAACTACAAAGGATTTGTTTAGAAAATTATTAATGAAGAAGTTTTATTCTAAAAAAAAAGTAAACAAAAGAAATGAGTGATCACGTGAGCAACTTCTCCTTACGAGATCTTAATTGATGAAGAAAGTTTACTGACGTGTTCAACAACCATCCCAATCGATTCTAATGAGAAAGGGAAGAAAAAGCCCACTCGGGAACATCGAGCGCGTTTTTAATTTGGTTGTTTTTGATAAAACTCTTCTCTCTAGATAAGTTTCTAGATAAGTCTTTGAATCTTTTAAGATGAATTATATATTCAAATAACTTTAATAGAAATAAATTTACCGATCTATGCGTATTCTTTATTATTAACTAATGATAGTTATATAATTCGTTCTACTTTAAAATGATACACCCGCTACATTACTATAGTATCGGTATAATGTTTGACGATGCTAATTAGCTAGTTAGTTGCTGAACTGGTTGAATAATTTTCTTTTACGACAAGCGGGGAAAAAAGTGGCAAAAGTAGGTGTGAATGGAAGTATTTTGACCAGAGTTCGGTGCTACCTCTCTTATCAGTCAGGAGTTTGACACGGCTGAAGAGTTTCCGAATTAGGAATGAGTTTGGCGTGTTTCCCGAAGTATTTTTACTTTGAGAGGAGGGGTGAAGAGGAGCACCTGCAGCAGAGAGGCTCACACAGTTATGAAGAATGCTGCGGAGCACGACTACAACAAGAAAAGTCAGCAAGAGGGTGGCCTCGTCCGTCACCGTCTCTTACTCGTCCGTCCGACGTGGAGTCGTCACGTGAGTAGTCCCTATTCTGGCTCCAATCAAGCGATGCTTACCTTCGGGTTAAGCGACGTATGGCGTGATCTCATCACCCATAAATGACTTTCCGACCCAATTGTAAATGATGGATAGCGTCGGGGATATCCTTCCGACTGCTACATCGTTAAGGGCACGGCGATCGATAGACTAGGAGAAAATTCCCCCCCCATCCTTAGCTTCTCGAACGTATTATTCTTGCACGTGATCGTACGTAATGTCTAGCATGAACCCCAGTTTGAAAGAGGGTTGATTCTGCGCTTACAGCCTAAAGTAAATGTAATTAGGAAGAATTTAATTAATTTTTTTTTTTTTTTTTCAGAAGATGCCTATAAGATATAGCCTAATCGAGGCGTATATCTTATCGCTAGATTAAGTATCAATATAGATTAAATTTGAAAGAACTAAATAAAAACAAATGGAACTTTCATTCTACGAAAACAACTAAAATTCTAAAGAAATTCATTGCAAGTTACAGTAACTTGCAATGTTCCGTGCAATTTCAATTAAACAAGTGTTTACAACTTAAATTTTGCAAAATCTTAATGAAACTTGCAAATTATAATGCGCTCTTAAAGTATGCTAAACTAATATTTTGGTTCAGTTTACGAGATAATTTACTGATAATTTATCATATTTATAAGAAATCTATTTTAGTTCTATTTGAACTCGGTTACATGAGGCAATCGACGTGACTACAACGATGCGAAGTACACCGAATTTCAGTTAATGTATTCCAAACAGGATTATTATAAGTCGTGAATAATTTCGGGTCGAGTGGTTCGCTATCAGAATGTATGCCCGGATGATTATTTATTGTTATCCTACAGTTGAGTTACAGTAAGTTGACTAGAATAACAATTACATTCAGTCTATATTATAGTATCGTGAGAAAAGAAATATTCGATCGGATCCAATATATTTAAACTTCTTTTATAAATATAATCGATTTAAAATTAGTAAGAAACCTTTCGATCTAGTCATTGAATAGAAACTAGTGCTATAAATCAGGTGACTATATTTATATATTCATAAGAAACGAACGAGTTTCCGCTAAGTGATCAATCATTGCGGAATCTTCCATTTTATTTTTTCTGCAAATGTATATTCGAAGTGAACTAATCAGTAGGCGATCTCTCGCTTGTTTTTGCTGCTTCCTTTCTGGGAAATAACTCCAAGACCTAAACTAATAAAGTTGTTTTCTTCCGAAAAGTAAGCATTTTTCCGGATCACGCGCTCGGTAAGCACAACAATTTCCTATCTCGTACCTAATCTTCAAACTTTCGTTTTTTGAATATAAAAAAGCGACTTGTTATAGGCATTCGTGATACGGATGTTAAAGATACAAAAATTCTCATGCTCTTTTCTTAACCTTTGCTCTCTGTAAAAATTATGAACAAGAAAGTTTCAGTAGTAATTGCTCATTTTAAAAATCAATTTTTAGTTTTTTTTTTTAGAAAAAAAAAATGCAGAAAATTTTGCGAGTGAGGCAAGAATCAGTGTGTTAAAATTCCATCAAGCTGATAAATTTTGTAATAGTAATAAAGGATCTCTTTTACTTCTAACTCGCTAGACTTTTGAATGCGTAAAAAGAATATAAAATAAGGTGGAATATGTTTCTCTTATTTTACACTCACTATATTAATTATACGATAAGATAAATCATTTTTTCACTCTTTTCTATCTAGAGAATATCTGAATCTTTCGCACGTAATTATCAGGCGCCCTAGACTAATGTCACGAATATACATTTGTCTTATTTACTACGCTCTTAAGCTATTTTAGAGGCCGAGTGGGGTCAGAAAACTTTACAGAAGGCACAAGTCCAGAGACAGAAATGCTCGAATATGAACTTATATAATCTTTAGTTTAATTAGAGATGCTGCAATTACGAAGAGAAACCAAGTTGAGTGTAACGGAAACCTCACCTTGACTGATGAAAGGGTAGAAAATGTAAGTGGATCTTTTTTAAAAAGAGAAAGTGGAGTGGGGGCTGCCAAAACGTATCAGATGTGTCAGCTGATAAAAAGCTTGAAGTTTCCAAGAGTAACATGTGTGCGAGAGTCTCGCCGGACTCACTCGCCCCTTCATCACATGTGTTGATTGCAGGTGTTAAACTGCAACTAACAATTGATTCTTGCCAGCATAATTTCGAAATTCAACAGAATAATAATACGTGGCAAAACTGTCTTTTATATATTTCACTCGTTAATTCGTGGTTATTCAAAGGGCGTCGCTTCGCTTAATGCGATTAAAATTCTCTCCATATTTCATAATCAAATTAATTCGAAATACTTTTAAGATATTGTATTACTGTTTAAACCTGCCTAAGTAAATTATAAAAATTAAAATTAAAAAAAAAATCGTATAATTTAGCAATGGAAAGTAAATTCGTATGGGTGGATCTAAACACCATGACGTATTGAATACGTCATAGAATGAACGTTGGCATTAATTATGCCCCCTGTTGGGAAAATTCATTATCAAAGAGAAATCCATTTAATTAGATCGCGGGAAAAAATCGATTAGAAGGATTCAGATTTCTAAATTTAACTTTTCATATCACACTATGACTTCTGCGCTTTTCCATTTTGCCAACGAGCAGCCAATTCCAGTCCAAAAAATTACGAGAATTGGCCACATTGCAGTCTTGGTTCACTGAAGTGATATTAATGAGGGCAGATGGCTAATGACGTCATCGCATATCTCCCACGTTTCTCTCTTCACTTTCGTCTCGTTCAAAAGAAAAAACAAAAAAAAATATTTATTTCATTTTAAAAATTGATATGAATGTGATATAATTAACGACAGATGGCGCCAAAAAATATAACCCTGAAAACCCTTTAATTAACACTAGTTAATTGTTTTTTTTATGGCCAGTAAAATTTTATATATATACTGAAATATTATTTAAATTTGTTTAATTCTATTTTTTAATATTTTAAATAGATTTGTAAAGTTTAAAATTCAAATTTTAATCAAGTTTTTTCCTAACAATAAAGCATTAAAATAGCAGGGGGAAAAACCATCAAAAATTTGATGTAAAGAAACTTAATATCTATTTTATATTTTGAAAAGTAAGATGTAATTTGAGAAATTCTAAACATTCCGTAAGACTCGCCTTGCATAAAAAGTACTCGATTTTTCATTTTATTTTTCTTTCCCCTTCCTCTTATTCTTTAACATACTTTTATTCTATTCAATAGACTTTAAATGATTTTCGACAAATAATATAATAATTTTATTATTTGAAAAAATTTAAGAATAAAAATAGATTAAAAATAATTTAATATTTTTAAAATTAAATGTATATATATATATGCGATNTATATATATATATACAATATATAGAATATAAATTTACATTCTGTAATTTTAGTTTGACAACTTGTCAACAGATGGCGAAGCGATAGCTTTTAATACAAACTTTGATATGCAATCTTTTTATTAACTTTTCCCCTTTTACATTTGGAAACTTTATCAATTCTTATTGACTTTTCTGAAATGTTTTCTTGGCATTTTTAAAAATATAAAATCGAATTTATTTTGTTGGCATTGCGTTTTAACTTATTGGTTCCTTACAGTCGCAATTAAAAACAAGAAATCTTTTTATAAATTCGAATTTAATTAATAGCTAATTACATAAATCAGGAAAAGATTCGATATAAAATATTATGATTTATTTCATAAAGATATAGAAAAAAATAATAATAAATCCTCTTTCCTCAATTTAATAATAGTTTGGTATATTGAAGTGGAATTTTCGTTAAAATTTCAAATTTTCAACGTTTGATTCGAAAATTATTACTTTGTTTATCTAGAAAATGTGATTTAATCATTTGTACAGAAATTACAAATTTAAATTTGGCACGATTTCAATACCCATAATGCAACTGGTGAGTAATGAAAATTTTGACGTCACTCTGCGTCAGAATTCAGTTTCGCAATTTCTCCGCCAGAGAGGCTAATTTAATCATTGTGACTTCATAGTTCCTAGTGTTTTTCTTTTTTTCCTACTTGTTATTTTGGCAGCAAAATGGATAAATCGTCAAAATACTTGAAACAATTCCAATTGTTTAAATGCGAAATTTTATAAATTTAAAATGTGCGGAATGGAATTCTATGGCTTTGTACAAGTTGAAATATCATTTTAGGGATTTAACGGATTGTTAACTTTCCAGTGTCTTCACTAACAAGTGTTTTTTTCCTTTAAAACTTTGACGTGTGTATCATTTATTAACTTGTTACAAGTCGGAGAGAGTTACTTCCCGGGAGTGTCTTAAATCTTTATTATTCCATTTATCGATTATAAAGTCTTCTATGAAGTTTTATCCCGCAAAAAACAGCTCCAATCCTAGCCTCATACCTGTATAAAAGAAGGAAAAAATTGTAATACTAATTAACCATCGATATAACGAATTTAGATGTAACGGGCTAACCTTTTTGTTCCTTAAAGTGGAAAAATTCGGTCGGGTGGGTCACTTCGCATCGTTCAGGGTTCAGCATTCGTTTTAACATTATCGATCGGTAATGCGACATATATTATTAAATAATGGCCCGCTAGCACATGGACAACCTTGAAAAGGCGGGGAGAGAGCGAAATAAAATCTATCCTTCCATAACAACTGCATGTTTATGAAGGAAAGCTACTCTAATTGACGCTAACCAGATATCGTTGGTGTCGAATGCGGGAAAGACGCAATTGCTGGAGTGTCATCCACTCACAAATTTATTAATCAGCTTTAACTTCCTTCTGGTGACGTCAAGGACGTCCGTTTCTGATGATCTGGCAGCAAAAAGGAATGGTTGGCGCGAAATGTTGACATTAACTGCGCTACTCCACGTCACGTTTCGCTATCTGTTTCCCAAAGCCGAATCCATAAAGCGTGAAAGCCTACGCCCGTCACGAGCTACGTCACGTTCCAGTTTGTCTCACCGTAGAAAACATATTTGGTAATCTTTACAATTGTTTTGCTTTTCTTTAACACACAATTCATTTCCTGGAGTTCTATTTTATTCCAGCAATTTTTATCAAACTTCATTCCTTTATCATATTCTACTTTTTAAATTTTAATAGCTTCAAAATGTATTTGAATAATACAGTTTATAATTTTTATTTTATAACATTTTCTGATAAGGTTAATGTAACCTTATTATAGTTTTAATTTTCCTTATATATAAAATTAATATAGATATTTACTCGAGAATACGTGTATAAATTTACGCTGTGTGTTTATATATACACGTATATAATCTATATTGTTCTTCTGCTAAAGGATCAATTAATTAATTCTTTTATATAATTTAAACGTGTTTAAATAGACATTATCCTTATAAAAACACACTAATTAACTTTGTTATAATAATATAATTTTATCATTTTTATAAACAGAACAGAATATATTTTGACGTAATGTCGTGTTGTACCGCATCCCAGATCGATACGATTCATACGAATGCGTTTTATATTAGCGTAAAAATAAAATTAATAAAAAATTTAAAAAATAAATGCTTAAAATATTTGTGAATTGTAAGCAAACGAGAAAATGTATCTGGATTGTTCACATAATGGCACAGCTCCTGTGTAGTGTAGAGAAGTCAATAATAGCATTACTTTGGTGTTGAGTGTTTGCTGTAATGACTGCGAGTGTCAAGTGTTCGTAATAATGATATATTGTTGTATCATTAAACTCTTTACGTAATTTTCCTCCCACTGAAGTTATTTAGGCAAAGTAGTTTAATAAATCTCTTTTGCCCATCCCATATTTCTTGTTTCGGAATTAAAACGTTATGTTCTAAATATTGATTAAATGGAACGTGATTTTATTTTTAATGTCTTAAATTGTGTACTCCTAAACTTCCCTGTTATATCTTAGAGTCGTCGAGCACATTTTAATAGTGTTTTAAAATGAACCTCAGAAATTTTTCGGGGTGATCCGTCCCGATATATCGGATCCCTTCCCTCATTACCCTGCTGCTTCTTTGTGAGGTTGTCCGAACCGTAAAATGGGCTTGCGAAAAGACTCTCTTAGTGCCCACAGGATAGAAAAAGTTTTAAAAAATAGTATTTTAAAATCCTTTGAATGCCTTGTTCTTTTCTCTAAATCTTCTCTAAATCTTGTTTTCAATCACAATCATCTGACCTTTGCAGTTTCATCCAAAATATCGCTTTCATAAATTCTACTCTCATTCTTTTAAAGCTTCTAACTTCTTAAGTATAAAGAGACTAGAATTTTTCTGTCATAAAAAAACTTCTGAAAATATTCACAGAAGATTAAAGAAACACCAAAAGCTATTTCTTTATTACATTTATTGACAAGTCGCTAAACCATATTTTATAGCGAGAAACTGCTTTTAACGTCGCAAGACTTCTATTCGTTTTTCTTTGAATATTCACTCGTATAGGATATTGTTTAATATATCATTTTTTTTTATTTCGTAAATAAATCGGCGTGGAGGAACATCATTATCGATCGGAACTCTGCTGTAGATTCGTCTCTATAACATTACATTATCTTATGAAAATGACATTTATTTATTTAAGCAGCATAAAACACTCAATTTATTCCGATGTTACGAAGAGAAAATTGATTCCCCAACCATTTTTCAAAAGATTTATGACAACGAAGTTAAATTCGCTTCAGAAAATCGCTTCTGATATGTCTTTATCGATACTGTCCGTGTTGCTTATCGAATTCTACCGAAAGAAAGGACTTCCTCTCGCTTAATAACGTTTCTGCATCGATTTTTACTCCTTCCTACTATTGCACTTTTACTTTTGACAATATAAACTCTGATGAATAGACCGTATTTTCATATTACTTTATTTTATTCTTTCATAAAAGAAAAAGGTCGCATAATAACTCTTATCACTTCTATCAACAGTTGTGTGGCGGTAGGAGAATTCTAGTTTACTTTAAAAGCAATTTAAAATAATAAATAGTAAAAAAATGACACTTTTTTTATAGATAAGCATAACGTATGTTATCTATGTTTCAAGTAATGTCCGTTTTAGTGTTTACAAATAGCCTGTTTCGGCCGCTTTAGGAAAGTCTGGATAATATCAGATTCTAAAAGATTTTTGAAATTTTCTAAAATCTGTATTTAACGTAGGAAATTGTTGTCAGTTACAAAATAAATTAAAGTGACATACGACGTCGGATAAGGAAAGTCTGGTATGTGTCTTTCACTTCTCACTTTACTTCAGAATGATAGAGCAGATAGCTATAACTTGCTTTCAATTTGTTCGCGTATTAAGGATGTAATCCAGAAACAACAAAATTGTGGGAAGAGGATTAAGGAACTACGAATGAATAGGATTGTTACATTCCAGTAATTAGAATGACAGTCTTTTCTTACGAACCGACTAATTTGTGTTTGATTAGACGATACTTAATGTTTATTCAAATAAATAGTCTATTGGATTACACCTTTTTAAGTTTTAATTGTTAATTATATATTAAGCTATTTAAGGTATAATATTTTTTATGAATTTTACAAACTTTTAATTGTAAATAGATATTAAATTTATTACTGTTGATAAATAAGTATAAATATTTTTAGCTTTTTTTTCCTTCTCTTTTTTTAAATCTGAAGATAAAATTTTGCTAAAGATATTTTTTCGAACTGAATATAAAATAAGGAATGAGATCAGTTTTTATTCAGTTAAAGCTCTTAAACATATTTATCTTCAAATTGACATCTATCTTAAATGATTTGTATCAATATTGAATCAAATAAAAGAGGACAGTGGGATGTCCGAAATGGTTAAGTCTCAGATCTGCCGTTCTGGGGATCCTGGATCGAATCCGGGTGATCGAAAATCCCAGGATTTTTCGCCTGTCCCGGATATATACGGTTCCGTCCTTTCCTACTCAGTCTTCCTCATTGTGGTCCTGACAGAACTTGCTATGGGTATGATTTAAAATGTCATTTTAGTGCCCCGCAGTGCGAAAAGGATCAAAAATGACAAAACGATCGAATAGAAGAAGCGAACATAGTTTATTTTTCTTAAAATCTGTATTTATTGAGAAGTAAATTGATCCAGATATTATAAAAAGTAAGTAGAAAAAATGCTACAGCGAAGTAAATCTTGAACATATTTCATCCCAAAAATGTTTCTCATAAATTATTTCATGAAAAATTATCTGAATTGGCGTCGGAAAGTTCATCCATTAAATACAAGATAGTTATCGCAGATCAATAACGATGCAGAAAGCGTTTTTACTAGAGAGCTTTCTCGTGTTGATTTCTCTCCATGGACAAGTGACAGCTGTCACGTGGTTCTAATGACATTTCCCTTCTACAAGAAAATCCTTTATTTTACTTCTTAAAGCATACAATCTAAAGTGTAACATTTATCCACGGTTTGTTGTAATTATCTCGAACGATTACTATGACAAACATGTAGATGAAAGATTCAACTTATCGCATGTTTGCCTTGCGGTGGAGGCCGTGCCGCAGCATCCATTTCATTGATTTTAGAGACTACTGACGCAATCGTTACACAGGAAGGTGACACGCTCCCGTTTATATAAAATATCACAACCTTTTAAATATCAAACGATCAGAACGTATCTGACCGCATGGAAAATCTCTACTGGAAAATCTGACATCAGAGTCACGAACCTGGAACTCGAGTAAAAAACATCAGAAATTTGTTCGTTAATGTCGAACATTATACGGAAAAATATATTCTCTTCTCTCGATAAGAACATTTTCAATTTAAAATAAATGATTAACTCACCTTAAATCATTTAATTATCAGTATATGTAAGATATCTCGCTCGATGGCATCTGTATAGAGAATTACGATGAATCATCAACACATCGTTGATCAGATAATCAATAAATCGATACCGAGTGCTGTCATTCCCATCATTAATCTATGCATCATTATAACACTTATGGTAGGTCTTTTATTGTCACTTCTTCGGCGAGAGAGAAAAAATGATCCTTCTTAAAACATCAATGATTAAGAAGCAACTCATCATCCTGTCTTACATGTTATTAATGAATTTTTCATTACAAATTATCCTTCCTAAATTTAACTGATTATGCTGAAATTTTTAATAAAGAAGTAATTAAAATTACACCAAAAGTAAAAACGAGTACATAATTTCTTTTTAAAAAAAAAAACGTGACTCATATTTAATTACATTCTTATTTAATGTGTGGTTTTATGCTGAAATTTATGAAATTTCAAGCCTACCTTTTAAATTATTAAAACATTTTTTGCTCCCTGAAAGAAACGAGAAAGTTATTCACTAAACGTATGTTCAGTCTAAAAATGGAAACGGAATATTCAAAAGTGGCTATTTATTTTCATTTTATACCCTTTTTTTCTCATCACTTTTCTGCATTATAACGTCATTAAGTTGATTTTGTGTGGAAGCATTCAACAGTTGAATGTTTCTACGCTAATGCAGTCGGAGTGTAAACAGTTTCTGGAATAAACGCTTTAAATCAGAGTTATTTTGAAATATTTTCTTGTTGTTAATTTAAGGAAGCTTTACAATATTTTTTTTATTGCAAATATAATTATTGAGGTAATTTTAAATAAGGCATTAATTGATTAAAAATCACTGCATCAAATATACGTGCGATATATGTAATATTTATGAAATTATCTGAAACACTATACATGTATACGATAGAGAAATTTATTTAAATTTAAACTATTGTCATCTTATGACAATAATTTAAGATGACGCTTAAATAAATTATTTTTTATTTTATCTGACTTTTTTTATTTGTATAATTTGCTGCAAGCTTGAAAATTTAATCTGTTTACAACTTGTGTTATTGTTTATAATCGATAACCGAACAAAACTTTTAAGGTTTGTGCATTAAAAGATGATTTAATGAATTATTCTCTCGCCAGATGGAGCCAAGTACAATGTGCTTTATATTGATAAAATAGCTTAAAATAAACCTTTCAGACATGGATAAAAACTTTTTCTATATTTTTATTTATTTTAAAAATGGTAAAAAAAATTATAAAATAATATTTTCAATAATATAAAAATGTGTAATCTTTAACATTCTTGAATGATATTTTAAGCTTACTAACAAGAAAATTTTACTTGTCCTAGTCGATTTTGAATTCTCAGCGAACGGATAGAACAGTGATAAAGTATTTATTTATGTACCGGTACCGGTAAAGCAACTAATGACTTGAAACGAAAATAGCAAAAAATAAAAGTCATCGATCCAAGTATGATCAAGAAACTAATTCTAGATATATATATGTATTTTTTTCTTCTATTTACAGTTATCTATTGGTGTATCTATAAGCTAGATCAATCAGACTGTAATGTTGTGACGATAACGCGAATGATCCACAAAATAAAAGTTCAAGGATACTTCTAATGAATGACGTGAACAAGTCGTTATTATTTTTTAGCGGAATAGAAGTATTGTTGTCTGGATTATGAATACCAAGCGAATTTTTCAATCTATTCTTTTATTCCGATAGATATTTACTTGTAGAAACCCCGAATTTTTTATTTATTTATGTATCTTGACAGAAGCGCTGTTTATTTATTCATGTTTATTTTCCTTGCTTATAATTAATTTCCGTTATAATTTTTCTTTCTTGAAACAAAATCTGCAGGCTTAATACGATTATCATTAATGTTTAAATTATTCTCGTGTTTACTTTTCTAAATTGAATCGTTGGTACATACAAAATTTCGTTTTCTGTTTATTTCGTTCGATAAAAAATGCTAATGGATTTTAATAATAAATTCTAAGTTTTATTTATATTTAATAACATAACTATGTTTTAGTTTCATAAAAATTAATGAAATTAATAAATAAATTATTTATTTATTTAATTTACTTTTTTTATGAAATGGTTTTACTTGCATTAATATTTTTATTATAAAAAAAAGAGAGAGCCTTATTTATAGGCCTATATTTATACTTGGGGCGAGGAGGCTGATTTTAACGGCTAATATCTATGGCTGATGTAGATAATTCATAAAGTGCCAATCAAGAACGCTGGTTCTCCTCCCTAATTCTCTCCAACCTTCGTGTCTCTTCTTAATACTTTTATTTCGCTTAATTCCAAAAAAATATATATATTATTAGCCTTTTTTCGGCGTGACTTTGTCGATAATGGGGGCGAAATAATCCCCAACCCCTCGTAGCTTCGCCCCTAAAGGAGGAAATCACTTCATGGTACAAATATACTGCGTGTAATTTCAATGATAGATAAATTAATTAAAGAATTTCGAGCTAAATTGATTTTCTCAGAATTTAATTCTAATATAACTATGATAATTTCTAACTTTTCAATTTGAAACTAGCGAAAGGTCATTCGCAGGAAAAGTTAAATTTTTATATACACGATAGAAGTTGTGAAATTTCTCCTATTTGTAATATCTTCTTTTTAATTTTTTTAAGATAATATTTTTATTAAATGTTAGAAATATATAGGCCTATATAAACAAGACAGAAATTTTAAAATCTTAGGCTAATTAGATTTGCCACTTATGTTTTCTATCATTTTAAATTGGCTATTTCTGTATGAATATTTACACATACAAATTTATATAAATATTTTCATTTGGAACGGCATACCTTCAAGCGATTTTACTTAAGTACAATTCAATCGATAATCTATTCAACGTTTAAAAGAGATTCCTTTCAATCCACATCCAAGAAAATTATTCTAAAAATTCTGATTATCTCGTTTAGATGCAAAATTATCGTAAAGGTTAGTGTATAAAATCAAGCGAATTGAAGTTTTGAATTCCTCTCGTGGATCTCTTATTTTACTCATGGATCATGAATTTCGCTCTCTCGTGGATCTCATCTCCCATTCATACTAAGAATTTGGTATCTTCACTCACCTTTCGAGTTTGCTTATTATTCAGATTAGATTTAAGAATAGATTGATGTTATCCAATATAAAAACATTAATCTTTTTACCAAAAAGGTCTTCTCAATGAATGGTTGAATTTATTTGTTAAATGATTTTATATAATCGGATTTGTTTACATTTAATACCGTTTTTCTTTCATGAAGCAAAAGAAAAATCGATTGATTCTAAATATTTTATAATCGGTTAAGAAAACAAACACGTTTCGTTTATAAGGAATAAACAAAACCCGGGTAAGTTTATGTACAGATTTACTATGTTTTTGAAACCGTGTTTTGCAAATATATTGGACTTCGAACTCAAATGTGAGTTATAAATAAACACTTGGGCTAAGTGTTTATTTATAACTCACATTTGAGTTCGAAGTCCAACTACAGATTTACTATTGTACTGTACAGTTCGTCCGCTCATTTTTAAAATAATTTAATATAGATATTTAGAATAAGCGTTCCTTATATTATAGGACTCATATAAAGCTGTAATGTATAATTACTCATTATTTTATTTCGTAATTCATTTATTTTGCTTGGTTACTTTCAGGTATGAATCGGAAGATGGAAGCGCGCAAAATCGTAATCTTTTGGATACTAACAGTCCTTCTTCCGGCCTGGTCCTTCCTAACTTTCCCCAAAGGAGAGAGTCGTTCCTCTACAGGTCCGAAAGTGAATATGAAATGTCGCCGAAATCTGTTTCCCGCCATTCCTCAATTGGCGGGACCACCGAAGTGTAAGTAGTGTTCGTGAAGAACACTCTTTTATATAAAAATTAAAATCACTTTTAGTACTATTAAACGTTAAATTTATAAGTTCTGTGCAAGAAAAGTATTAACATGATTAGATCTACAATTTATATTATTTGCTTATCAGAAGTGTTTTTTATATCTGTTCTTACTATTTAAATAGTACAAGATGACCTATATTTACGAGTACTCGATATAAGAGAATTCGATACAACTAGTTACTTTATTTTAGCCTTTCCATTTACGAAACGAAATATTCAATACAAGCGTCGGCCAATGTTTATGAGAACAAATTATTCTAATCACGAGTGCGATGAGATTGAAATTTTCGTGCGCTACACTGGAACTTAGAAGCTGTCTAGCTTCTAACTTCCAGTTTATCTCTTTGTGTTCATTCACACTGGGCATTCATTCGTTAGAGGATAGTACCATTTGTACTAAAACAGTCACGCACAATGACACATATGGCGTCCTTAAGGCTACAATATTCAGGCGTCCCTAAACTAAATACTGTACATTCATATTTCAATATTATTGAACTGATATGTTTTATTTGGCCCCTAGTTAAGCTTTCAGTTTGTATTAATTCCTTTATGAGTCGTTTCTATATTAAAAATTTTTTTTTCATTATTTAATTGTTGTTATTACTGTACTTTGAATTTTTGTGCCCCACTCCTGTTCCTCTAGGCCCAGGTCTAGTGAATCTAATATCCACCACTGGTTAAGCAGATTAATAAATTCTTTTTATCCGTGATTACAATTAAGTAAAAAAAAAAACTATTTTATTTTATTTTAGTTATTTCTTGTTATTTATTGCCTTAACGAAATTTTGTTTTCTTGCTATTAAATAAAAAAGTTTAACAATTTACACGTTTGCTTCTCTTTTCTCTTTTAGGTTCTTTTATATATGTGAATTCCATAACCAGCACTTTCACTTCTATTTTATTTCATTTAGAATCATTGGTTAATAGATAAAAAGGCGAGTGTTTTTAGAGGGCCTCCTTTTATGTTATTTTCAACATAAGACTATAGAACCATGTACAAATTTCGACTAAGAACTAACGGAAAAGCTCGTCTCAATTTACGAAAGGTTTTAGGGAATGAAATTCGCTCGTAAATCAGGGTATAGCAATTCACAGTTTACATTACTTTTTATAAATAATTTAGATGACAAAAATAGGATCGGTACATTGTTCAATTACATTAACTATTGTATTTCTGAGAATAAGAATAAAACCGATGTTCATTAGTCTACATATCTGAAGGAATTCTGTATTTATTACAAAGTAGAACATAATATATTGTAGATAAAACATGTATTAGAAAATTGTGTGTTATAATCTATTTAAAATTTCTGGCATTTTAGCAAGAAATTTCGAATTATAAAAAAAAAGAAACAAGAATTCCTCACACGACCTGAAATGACATGGTTTGAATTTTCAGTTTTTATTGTACTGTAGTCTATTAGTTTTTATTCGTTGCTTAGCTACAGCAGTCGAACAATACATATACAAGATCCAGCACATTCTTATTCTGGGAAATATTATAATTTTGGAGAAATCTTTTCAGACAAATTTAAATTAAACATACAATATATGCACGTAACGAGGAACGATTGATTGTAAAATGAGATGACGTCAATTAAATGTCTCGAATTAAATTAATTAGAACTTTCGTAGTAAATTGAATATAGAATTTAATTTAAATTATTTTTGAAAATAGTTTAAGTATTGTTGAATATATAATACAGTATTTTTACGTCGTAATCAGTAAACTGTATTTCTGATTATTTTTTTGAGCAGGAAGATTAAATAATGTCGTCTCTATTATTAAATTTCACTGTATTATTAAATGTTTTGTTAAACGACATTACTGTAATCAGCAAAAATTTAAATTCGCAAAAATGAAAGAATTTCAAATCATTCTAAAGACGTTAATAGCATTTATTCACGCTTGAGAAATTGGTAAGAACACAAGGTATTTTTCTATTTCACTGGATTATTTTATTTTCTAGGCGTTGCCTATTTAAATCAATTTTTCCCATTTTGGTCGAATCGCAGGTTTCTAATAAAGCTTTTCCAAGTTTCAAAGGGATTTTAATTTCATTTACGCATTCGGAAATGTCATTTTAGCCATCAAATTCCATTCTCATCTGTTATTCAGATTGAAGCTGGAATAAAGAGGGCATTCATATGATTATAATTAACGATTTAATCAACTAATTGACCAACTTAACAATTAAATTATGTAATAAAGAGAAACTAAGTTGTGGTAATAGCTACAAGTAATGCAAACGCGTTTTGCATTATCTCATAAAAGCCAATTTCTGTCTTTTTAATTATTTTTTTAGGAATTAAAAAGAATTATTTTTAGCGCTTAGTCTGTCCAGTTGTCTGCATTTTCGATGGATATCTCGAAAACCGTTCGATATAAGTTAATGTCTTGCAAATTTTGATATATGATTTTGATTTATACTATATACCAGGGTGGTCAAACCTGTCACCATAGAAGCCGTATACAGCCTATCAGAAATACAGTTTATCAGAGCCACATCCTATATTAGAATGGATATTTATATATAACGTATATACGGTATACACATATATAAATGAGTAGCACAAAAGTTGGACGTATACTCTGATAAGAAGGAAGTGATCCAGTATACGGGTGCGGTCCCTTAATAAGGATCTGGAAGAGTCACATGCGGCTGGCGAGCCTCATGTGACTCTTCTAGATCCTTATTAAGAGACCGCTACCACCACGACTATATACTAATATGCAGATTTAGTCAAGATCAAACTAAAAATCTGGAAGCACTTCGCAAAATTGTGTATGATTTAGTCATTTTTATTGTATGCAGGTAATCGTTTCGATGCGTTACAATGGAGTAAGGTGTTTACAAAAATGTTACACAATGCTAGTTCTTAATCCTTAGGTAACAAAATGATTTATTTTTGTTTCTAAAATGTTGCATAGCGAACTGCAGACTACTGATTATCACTATTTTATACGTTATACATGTAAGTAATAAAATAGCGTAACGTTCGTTACCCCCTGCTGTATACTATTTATTAGTACAATTAAAGGAGTAGATCGAAGATATGCATTACATAATGGTGGTGGCAACGTTACGGAGAGTTACTGGGGATAAGATGATAGTTTAAAAGTGAAAAATATCGTTACGTAACTTATAGCTGCTTTCTATTATTAAATGTTTACATACTTCGAGTATTTTACTTGTAATTTAACGAGACTTCGTTTAAAGTTAGATTATATTAAGATAGATTCATATTAAAATTTTCATAATCCAATTAAATTAAAAGGTTGATATAAAGACTACAATTAGACAAATATATCAAAATCATCCAAAAACATTATTGTTCTAAATTTATGTGTATTAAGATATTAAAAAATTTCTTTTTCTCACTAAAGGAAACTAATTTCAATTTTAATTTGAATATTATCATCTGTTTAGGCAAAGTGTACTTATTAATATTTTGAATTTCAACCAAAAATATCAAATTACTGAACTAAGAGGAATCCACGTTAACTGAAAGAGAATCCCTTACATTTTAATTAAGAGATGTTTAAAAAGTTTGAAAGTTCTAAGACTCTAGAGAAAAAATCCTATCAACATTTTACTTAAAAAAACTATTTGAATTTAAAATTTTATTTTCAATGAATGATAAAAAGTAATTTTAAAGTTCTTAGACAGGTGATATAAATCAACTGATAAAAGTAAGATAGAACTTGATTATTCTATTAGATGTTACAGTATGTATACATGTATGTGTGTAGGGGTGTGTGTATGTGTGTACTGTGCATACACACACAAACGTATATATATATATATATATTACTTATATAGGTCTATACTATATGCTAAATAAGCTTATTTAAGCAGTTAGCAGATCGCTGTATTGATTCTTTGTAAACACATGAAGGAAAGAAAAAAGTTATTTGATATAAAGACATTATAATCGGGTTCTCTGCAAACAAAAGATAAAATAGGATAATAGGGTTTCCAATTATTTTTTAAAAGGATGTTTGCAATGAGAAAATTCATTTTTAATCAACCGTAATCTGACCTGATGAACGTTTAGAACCCGAAGGACAACTTTACTCTGACAATGAGTTCTTATATTAAAAAAAAAAAGGAAAAACCATTATATTTTTTCAGCATAAGTCATTAAAAAAGAGGAGAATAGCATTCTTCAGAATTTCCGTTTTTATCCATGAAATATAATTATTTTGAGAATCTACAGACTCATTATTACGAATGAAAATTGAAAAAAGTGAGATGTTTTATTTCTGGAATAAGATGGAAATGTTAGAAATTTTATATAAAAATCGTCATTTTTATTCCTTGTTCTTTCTCTGTATAGGAATGCATATCTGTAAGAATTCTATATCTATAATTCATTTATTAATAAGTAGAAAACACATAAAAATTAATCGGGATTTAACTTGATTACGAAATTTGAATATTTTATAAAATAATAAATGAACCTTCCATTTACTTATCGAATGAGAGATGCCAATTAAATAAATTGTGGCAGAGAAAATTTCCACTTTAAACGCCTACACTCTTTATTGATCAACATTCAACAGTTCGAAGTACCGAATCGAGTAGGAAGGACCCGATCGATACTTTTCTTATTTATTCCCATTTCCGAAAGTTTAAGACAGAAAACGAAATTTTGTTTCCCGTTTTAAATTGAAAACGAATGGATTTTAAAATATACTTGTGTTTCTTTAACTGTAACTTTTTTTTCTTTTTCCTATTACGGAGTGAATTTTCTTTTAAAGTATTCTAACCACAACTTCGTTCGGCAAATATTTAAGGGCCGTTTTTGCTGTTGCGCAAGTTTTCGATGATCGATTCGTATCGTTTGCTTCTGATTGAGCAATCTTTGCAGATTTTTTTTCTTCCTAATTCCTTTGGGAATTCGAAAAATTTTTGATTTTTTTTCTTTTCTTTTTCTTCGGAAATAAACTGTATGCGAACAAAGTACTACAGAATTGAATGAGTTGGCTCGTCAAACATGATTGCTCTATTCTGTCTTCTATTTATATTCACGAATAAAACATTCATTTAAAGTAGTTTACATTTATTTTACTGTTATTTATGAAAAATATTAAACTATATGACTCGCAACATCAATTTCCCTTTAAAATATTTTCGGTGTTATCTTATATTAAAACTTTCATCCTTCTTCATTTTTTTTTTATTGATTTTAAAACTTTGTATACTTTCAATTCCGAATTACATCCTTTTACCTTTACAATACGGAATATTTAAAATACCCATAAGATATTTTGATTATTTCTCTTCTTATATACCGAAATTTTTAATTTACATTACAATTGACGTATTTACATATAAATATTGTATTTTATAGGAAATAACAAAAGAGAGATAGCGATTCATAATTTATAGAGATCATTCGGGTTCAAACTTTGAACTCGTCGTTCCGAAGAAGGACGTTTTGATTAAAGATTTAATAAGATTAATAAAATACGTGGACAATAGATGGCACCAGGAAGGAATGGTAAAGTGCAGTCACGTGATAGAGCTGCAATAGACATATTTCTATCCACATGGAGGGGAGAGGATATCTTCCTCTTTCATCCCGCAGAGATTTGATTGTTATTGATTGTTGTGTTGGTGTAAACATATCGATTGTGTGACATTTCGGAAGTCTTCTCGTCTACGGATTCGGTCGTGAGTCTGCTACGTCACATCTGCTCGTCCTCCCACTCATAAAGTTAATTTTAGTAAAAGGATGTGAGTTCTTGATCTTACCAGTTATTCCTCCTTTATGGTTACTTCTAATGACTCTTTATTGACTAATTATGCAACGAGCTCGAATCGTTATCGCTACTTTATCCGTTTAAATATTCTTTATATTTATTTAATTGATTCTCCTATTCATCCTGGAGAAAATGTTAAGGAAATTGTATGCTGACTACTCATTAATTTGAGTCGTTCTGCTACACCTGTATATTTATTGTCATGACAATGAATTAATTTAATTCCTTTGTCTCGACTTGATTTACCATTTGAGTGTGTGTTTGACTCAGTTTTTGAAGAATAAAAATTATAAGTCGGCTATGGATCACGACGAAGAAGCGGTTCTGCCCAGAACATTGAGTTGTGCCAGTGTACTTCGGATTAAACAACGCCAATCCTTCTGGGAAAAGTTATACTCTGGTCTAGAATTTAGAGGGTATGCATAGCCTATATGTCTTTTTTATATTAGCCGAATTAATTTTACCTACTTTATTCAACATTACATATTTCTGAATTTGTTCAAATTTATATTGAATTTTTTAAAGATCATTTTATATTATTTCATTCCAAGAAACCAAAATTACTGTATTTTCTTTTTTCTGTGAAGAGACGATTGTATTAAAAGAATAATGCAGTCCTTGACATCAATCAGTGTCAGGCTTTGATTTAATCTTATTGTTGTCACCTGAATGATGAGATTAAAGCAATAAATGTGGCAAAATATCTTTTGTTGTAACTAGAAAACCAGTTAACAATTAATGATCGTATTATTAAGTTTTAAAACATAGTTTAGATAGAAACTATTTTAAGAAATATATTTTTGAAGGAATTTATAATACTTATTATGCAAGAAAAATTAATATATATTTATCCAAACTTTATTTTTAATATTCTTTAGAACCTCTAATACATAAAAAAAATCTTAAAGTAAAAATTTATTTATAAAATCTTTATATATATAATAAATAGAAATTACATTTATTTCGGATGAGTATATTTATATATTTTAAAAATGTAAATTCAATTGTAATATATGTGATTACTTTTATTATATAACTTATTTCAAATGATGTATGAACAATAGATGACATTTCAGCTAAGGACAAACCTGTTTTGTCCATGTTTCAGGAAAAATGTCAATGTTTTTAAACTAAATATTAGGAAATGTAAAAAATAAAACTAATTTTATTATTTTTATATTTGAAAATTATTTAAGTGTATTTGCTAACATTAATATTAACAATTTTTAGCCACTGTGAAGACCTGATAGTTACACCTTTTGCACAAATATTGGCAAGTCTGAGAAATGTTCGAAATAATTACATCTGCCTCACTAACGTTGCTCCTTCAAGGTAAATTTCTAAATGTGTTAAGAAATTTTCCTCCTAAATACAGGTTCTTTTGATTCTTTTTATTTTTTCTATTTTAATTCATTAAGCTTGTAAATTTTTAAATTGTTTAAATTTATTTTAAAATAAACAACTTGAATTTTTATTTTGAAAATATTTTATTTTAAACTTAAATTTAAAATATTTTAGCGTATTTATATTTATTTGTTTATTTGATTTTTATATATAATTAATAAATTCTGCAAACAATTTAAAAATTATTTTTAATTATCAAGTTTGTCAAAATTTACAGTATTAATGAGTTGTTAGATGTAAAATATTTATTTTAATGATTATATTTCTATTTATTAATATACAGTATATATATATATATATGTAAATCAATTTTTTTAAACATACAGCTAGAGAACAATCATAATTTATATTATAATTCAGAAAATTCTTTTCCATCATCTATAATTTCCTCTAATGCTGTTTACATCTGGATGCTTCATCCTAGGCAAATAATATTCTTCAGATTGAAGAGCTGTATGATTTGATTATATACATTTACATTATTTATTCCTATTTGCTTGTACTTATTAAATATTTTGAATTTTTGCATTAAAAATATGCTAAGTGTTTTTCTTAATTTTTTTATTTATTCCAAGATAAATTTTCAATAATTTATATTAGATTTTAATTTATTTACATATTATAGATTTTGATGCATTATAATTGTGCATTTACTGTAATGAATTTTTAAAAATGTTTCATTTCTTAGAAAAGATAAAACGAAACTTTTAAGAATTAAATGCATCAAATGTTTGAGTTATCTGTTCCATTAAATACTACAAAACAACAAAACCAACTCTGTCTATCAGTTAACTTTTTACTTATAAACTATTTTATTAGCATTTTAATATAATTTTTTCTTTATGAAGATACTTAAATTTAATCTTGAAAATATATGAAAAAATTTATTAAATATAATTTTTAAAGTATTATTTAATTATAAAATAAATGCATTTATTATTATACTTTCATTACAAATTATACATGATTTATTAAAGTTTTACAATAATTCTTTTATCAGTTTCAATTCTTTGACCTCCACATTGATTATAGAAGGAGATTAAATTATCTTCTAGAATTGCAATCTATTCAATCATCAGTCCACGACACAAAAATAGTTATCCTACTTCTTTATCATTATTATTGTTACTAATGTCTCTAAGTGCATATTTGTACATATTTGTGTACTGTGTATATATATATAAATTACTTAAAACTGGATTAAATAAAATTTTGTTTGTTGATTTATCAAAATATGAGAAATTGAAAAAATTCTGTTGGTAGACAATATATGGAAAATAAGATACAACTTAATAAGTTTATACTTTCATCCTCTTCTCAATTTCTATATTATCTCTTATTTAAATGTTGTCCTTACAAAACTCTTATTTAATATTAATGACAGCATTTATAATTTATTTAAATTTGTAAATGGTAGAATTTTTACTTACTTTTTATTATATTAGCTGATGAAAAAAATAAAAGTGAATTAAATGTCAAAGTTGAAAAATATTGATTTAGAATTTGTTAAATATAACTGGTATAAGATACAACATAATAAATTTCATAAGTTTATGTATTATTATTATAAAATCCTAAATTTATATATACATTATTATTTAATTTGAATATGTGGATTGCTAATTTTTCTATATTATTGTCTATATTTTTTTTTTGAAATTATGATAAAAAAATTATATAAATTACCAGTATTAAAATTGTTATAGCTGTATTTTATTTGTTTAAATTTGTTAATATTTTAAACATGTTTTTGAAGTGAAGTGTATTTTAATTTTATCAGACTTAAAAGTTTTTAAACAGTTTCTGGCATTCAGATTATGAAAGTAATAGCTACAATATTATAAAACTAAACTACACAAAATATATACACATTAATATATTTAGTTACACAAAAAGTAATTTATAACATAACAGATGAATTAATGTAATAATAAATTTTAAAGTTGAAAGTACATTTCTTTCATATTTAATAATACATTAAAATCTAAAAAATAGGATGGGCTTCAATTTTACTTGTTGTGGCTATAAGCTATAACATAAAACAGGCTCTTTCCTTTTACCAAAAGGTACATGTAAAAATGTGAGGTTCTAAGTAGCAGCTTGTTTAGCTTGCATACAAACCTAGTTGTGATTATTGTTACACTTAAGTTTTGTTGTAGTTTCTAAATGCAAAATACTAAATTAATTTTACAAGTTTCATATTTTTATATTGAAATTTTCTTTTATATTTATATTTAAATTTTATTTTTTTTATCTTAGAATAACTATAAAATTTTGATTCTAAATTTCATAAATTTCATGCAGTTTTTCATTATTTAATTGATACAATTTTTGATGAATGAATTGAATGGAAAACAGTAGAAGAAATTTCTATAAGAAATTCTTATGAGACAATTCAATAACCTTGAGAATTTTCTTCAGATTATAGATTGTACTATAATACATTTCTGAGTTTTAAATAAATTTTTTGAGTTATTTGACAAATGTATATGTAAGCAAAAGATGGTTGGATTGTGCCAATACATTAGCCTCATGTTCATAGTCCACTGATGCATTTTGTTCATGTGCTCGAGGTTGTATCTCTTCTTCCACATACATAAGATCTCTTCCAAATTTATTGTTTAATATGGGGACCAAAAAACACTTCATTGTGCGTTATGAACATGACAGTAACATATTGGTGCAATCCAATCATCTTTCACTTACTATCCAATGCCAAAGATAAGATCAATGGGAATAGAGCCCCAGGGGTATATTCGGTTCCCATATTGAATGTATATGTATAGATATATACAATATTGTTGACAAATACTGTTCTTGATGTTTTAAGAGAGTTATAAAATACAAATAATTTTTAAAAAATGCAAAATTACTATACATTTATTGATCTGATAAAATTTTTTAATAACAAAAAAATATCATACAAAATATACTTCAATTTTTAATATCATCAAAGAATATAATGTAATATTAAATGAATTAATGTGAATAACATTACATAAAATAATTCTATTCAAAATATTTTTAAATTATTTTGTTATTCAAACAGTTTTCTTAAGCCTCTTAATAACTAATTACTTAAACTTTAATAATGAAGGAAAAATATTAAAATAAAACTAAAAATTATTTTAACTTTTATAAAATTGCCAAAAATTTCTATTTTTATTAAATAACTAAGATAACTTAACTATAGTTTTTAAAGACTAATGATAAAATTGAATAAGCTAATAACAAATAATAATTTTAAAGTAGTTTAAGAAGTAAGAAAATTAAAACAGTTTAAATACATAATAAATCAAATACTATTATTAATAGCTATTCTATTTTTTATGTGGTTACCTGAGGATAGCCATTCAAAATGGTTAAAAATGTTCATAATTAAAATGCATTTGCTGGAGATTTATATTATATTGCTGGCATTATATTAGTTGTTATTAAAGTTGATAGCAGACAAACAATACTAGATGAATTATTTATGATGATAAATAATTAATTAATTAAGTTTTCAGTTATATATATTTTAAAATTGTTTTGACATATCCTTTTAAAGATAGTAATACATCATTAATAAATTAAGAAAATTAAACCAGATTTATGCAAAGTCAATGTAACCAGAATTCTCTCCTATTGTAGTCATACTCACTCACTTTGCATAATGTTATCAGCTTAAGTCCAAGTGATTTTAATAAGTGGCATAATTAAGTTATATCTTGTTTAATAAAAAATATTGTTGAATATGTTTAAAATATTCACTTAAACTAATTCTCTGAAATTATCTTTGAAATTATTCTCTCATCTATTTTTAACTACATTTTTTAGTCATATTAAATTATTATTAGAAATATATTTTTAATAACTTTATTTATAATTTATGCACTACTTACATTTCATTACCATTGAAAACACCAAATATTAAATGTTTAAGAATACAAGAGAAAATAAAAATAACTTTATAATAATTAGTATTTTTTTTTTTTTGTTATATTAAAACATTTTTTTTGAATATACTAGTAATCTTAATCTGTTTTATTGTATATCTGACAATTTTTATTAAATAGTTAGATATCCAGTTATTAATATAAAAGCTTATCCAATAATAAAAAAGTAATTTATCAGTAATTTAATGATTATTTTATATTTGTATTTATTAATAATGATTCAAAAGACTGGATAAATTTTTGTGTATTTAAAGATTATATTGTTATTGAAAAGTTTTAATTATATTTTCAACAGCTATAATGGTATAATAACAGAAACATTTAATTGTCTTTCTGTACAATATCTCTGCAAATTGTTATGAAGCCATCAATATATACCTGTTATATCCACATCCATCTATGAGATTAATGAAATGTAAACATTATCCTTCATCAGATGTACTCACCAGTATATTTAAAATCTTATAAGTTAAATAACTTTAATTAGAATAAACATCGCAACAGTTGCTTAGCTAGATTGCTTTGAATAGATAATGGTTAAATATTACATATTGTTAAATTCTATTTTAAGTCATATTTTACTTGTAAATTATTTGAAAATGGCAATCAATTACTTTATATTTAAACTTTTTAATTTTCCAATAATAATAAAATGAAATTATTTTTAATACTAAATAATTTTTTCCTGGTTTAATGAGTATTATTCTTGTATAATTATATCCATTGTACTATAATTAAACTAGAAAATCACTCATTAAATTTTCAAGAAAATGACCTTAAAATTTTATTTTAATTTCTTGGCAATACAATATAAATGTGCAAAAAGTACAAATGTAAGTATTGAAGTACTAAATTTAAATTAAATTTATTATTTCAACATTTATATTTAAACTTACTGAATCAATATCAGATTGTAAAAAAAATATGTATATTTAATTTTAATCTGATATTGAATAATATTGATATTCAATAGTTAGAAAATTTTATTTTTTTTTATTGAAATAAATTTTCTGATTATATATATAACCAGAGATTTTATCATTGAATCATTTAAAATATTGATCGTAGTTTAAAATTAAAGATAATTCTAAAATTTAAGTGAAATATTACTTTTTCCATTACTGTAATTATTCTAAAATCATACAAAATGTGATTTTAAAACATATTTTGTATATGAAATAAATAAAAGTTGTGTAAACTGTATAAAAATATTATTATTTGTAAAATTTTAAAAATTAAAATATAGCAACTTTTTTTGTAATATAAATTAGAAAATAAGATGTTTTATTGGGCTGCAACTTGAAAAAACTGTAGATGTATAAATTCTCACTTTTGTCTGTCTGTCTTTCCTTAATCTCAAGAATGGTGTTAGAGAAATGAAAAGACCAGATATGGAAAGCTTACAGGCAGGAGGCCCTGATTAATGATACATGAACTTCTGATGCAAGTCGGAAGTCATGTAAATTCAATTCAAAAATTTTCCCCTGAAAGGAGTTAGATAGATGACTAGCATGACTCTATTGTTAACATAAAAGTATGATGTACAGAGGCAAGCCACTACTAATTTGAGATGGAGAACATATATTTTAAATTAAATAAATTAAAAATATGATTAAAAATTGCAGCCTGGCATTGTGACAATATCACATTAAATAATTGCTCATTTATATTGATTTTACTGAATATTAATTTATAAATTTAAATGAACTTAATCTATATAAATTTGAAGATATGCCAAAGACATACAAAACAAGTTGTGTTTTATAATGTGTAAAAAAAAATTAATGAAGAGACTGAAGAAATTAACAAATTATTCTGTTGTGATAAAATACTTTTTTGTTTAATTTTAGACTTATTTTGAAATGGTTTAGTATATTATACACTGTATATGCATACTTGTATGCATGCACGTGTATTAAATACATGTAAATGCATCTAAGAAATTTGTATGTAGTTTATTTAGCGGAAAAACAAATGTTAAAATTAATTTTAATCATATTTCATTTGTTTGAATGTAAATAATTTAAGTTTGAAATACTTACATTTAGTGTATTTTTAATTTTGGTTTCAAAATTGAATTAATGAGTAACAGTTTAGACTTAGTTTCTTTTATATAGCTTAAAAATGAACTGTTTTTAGTTCCAGATGTCGAAGAGCATCTAATGCTGCAGCAACCATATCAGCTACTCTTTCAAACAGAACTAATTTGACAGGTAAAATATTGTTAATTGTTAAATTCTATCTTCTTAATTACAAAATTATTATGAAATATGCTTTATTTTTGAAAATACAATTGAAATTTAAAAAATAATAATAAAACAAATGAAAAACTATGACATATTAGTATTTTGTACTTTACTTTGATATAAATAATACGGACTTTTACTTCTGAAAATTTAAGTCTAGATGATATTTAACTTTTTAGTAATTAAGAATTGAAATTAAAATTTTTAAAATTTTGTGCTTATTATATATTAGCATCATTTTAAAGTTAATAGTTGAACATTAATATTAAATGATTTAAAAATTCATGAACTAAATCTTTAGAGGAGTTTCCTATGATTATAATATTGTAAATAATGTAATGCCATATCTATAATCAAAAAAATTGTTTAGTGAAATAAAATTTGGATTAGACAAACGATCATAAGCAACTTTCTTCCTTTTATTACAAAGCAAAGTACAGCTCATTTCATGAACCTTGGCCAGGCTGTACAAATGCACAGTAGCAGGGACCAGTCTATTTACTTAGCGAAGGGAACAAATTGACAAATTTGTGACAAGATCACTGTACCAAAAAAGGGCTCTTGAACTTTATAAAACTTCCAGAATTTCACCAAATAATGCAAATTGCCTGGCCAAATATATGAAATGATCTGTAAAATATTCATTTTTAAAATTTTCATACAAAACAAAAACTCTTTTTTTTTTTTTTTAAAGTAAATAGATCTGACATAAAGGTGAGGAGTTCAAGTTAAAATTTAATATGAATCACTATACACTGTAATGAATTTTGACTTTTTCATAGTTACATAATGGATTATAACAGATGACTATTGACTTATTAATTTATATATAACTCCACAATTAAATTAATTTTCCTATAATAAAAATGTTAAATGACTTTTACATACAAGGGAAAGCCCAGGCTCTCTAGGCACCTTCCTGATTATGCCAATTGTTGTTTTATATGTTATCACTTTTTAATGTTTTTAACTTTCAGTTATATATAATTTATCAGCTTAGCAAAAATATTTTTGGAATTGCTTTCCAATTACAGAATGAATGAATAAATTTCATTTAATGGAAAATGATTAGTAGCATTTTATTTATTTATTTATTTAATATAAAGGTGATGTCACAAGGATAATATTAGCATTCCCACCATACAACTAATGTACCATACATAGCAATCTCCATTAAAAGTAATTGAATATAAATTACTTTATTGCTCATTCTTTCTAATATAAATGTTAATTCTGATATTAATTGAATTCATTAAAAAATAAATTATTATTTTATTTATTACTTTTACAATAACATTTTCATTATTAAAATATTTAAAATGAAATAATTCAAAATTAACTTTCAGTTTAACTTTAAAATTTTAAATAACACTAAATATATTTACTGTTTACTATTATTTAACAATAAATATATTAAAACGATTATTTTTAAGAAAATTATTTTTTGTCCATTGAAAATTAATTGTAATCTCATCTTTCATTTTAAAAAGTAATATTATTTTCATTTTAATTCTGAATAATACTTTACTTTTTTCCCTCCAAATTAAAATAATTCCATTTTTAAGTGTTAAATTAGAAATAGAATCAATATGTTTGAATATTCTAAAAAAAAACCTTAAAAAATTTAATGTAAGTGGATTTTTGATTACTTATTCCATCTTAGAATGAAATACAATAATATATAATGATCAAAACTTAAATGGAGTTTTGAGTTCAGTTTCATTTTAACTTATAATATAAGTTTTATGCTGTTAAATTTCATATAATATTCATCATATTATTTTATTATATAAAGTGTGAAATTGAAATTTAAATATTATTATTTTTTAAATAAAATTTAAATTGTGAATGAATAATGTGATGATCTATTGAAATGTAATCTGTAAATAGTAATGTCAAAAAATTTAAACAAGAAACTAAACAAATAATATGCAAAAAAGTAATTCAATGTTATATATGAAACATAACTTCCTATTTTTAATTTAAGATAATTATATGAAATAATTCTACATTTTATTTTAGAAGTTAGCTAAAATTTTGATCTAGGTTATTTAAGAACATGATGTAATTACATACTGCATATTAAAGCAAATTTTTTTTCAAACTCTTAAATTGAAATTTTCTAAATTGTTATGGAATTAAATGCTGGATTTATTTACATAATTTAAAACTTTTAGATGATGATATTCAGAAATTGGCACAGGAAACATTAGAAGAACTGGACTGGTGCTTAGATCAGTTAGAAAGTATTCATGCACATCGTTCAGTAGGAGATATGGCTTCTAGCAAGGTATCTAACCAACTCAAAAATGATTATTATTACTGGATATTAGTTAAGTGTAGTATAGAATGGTTTTGAGAAATAATACTCAAATTATTTTAATTTTGAGGATTGTTCCTCTAAACTATTGAATATAAGCTGTTAAACATTTTATTTTGTATCAGTTTTTTGTTAATCAATGTTTTATGTTAATAATTTACATGCCCTTCAATATGAAATTTCTCAAATATTTTTCCTTTTTTTCTATGAAGAAATTTTTTTTATTCTGTTCTTTTATTAGTTGTTAGTTTTTATTGTTATCAAAAAACATGATATTCCAGCAGTAATGCCTTGCATTATTATATTTTATATCATATGAATTCATTTTATTAAATATTTTAATGNACACAAAATATATACACATTAATATATTTAGTTACACAAAAAGTAATTTATAACATAACAGATGAATTAATGTAATAATAAATTTTAAAGTTGAAAGTACATTTCTTTCATATTTAATAATACATTAAAATCTAAAAAATAGGATGGGCTTCAATTTTACTTGTTGTGGCTATAAGCTATAACATAAAACAGGCTCTTTCCTTTTACCAAAAGGTACATGTAAAAATGTGAGGTTCTAAGTAGCAGCTTGTTTAGCTTGCATACAAACCTAGTTGTGATTATTGTTACACTTAAGTTTTGTTATAGTTTCTAAATGCAAAATACTAAATTAATTTTACAAGTTTCATATTTTTATATTGAAATTTTCTTTTATATTTATATTTAAATTTTATTTTTTTTATCTTAGAATAACTATAAAATTTTGATTCTAAATTTCATAAATTTCATGCAGTTTTTCATTATTTAATTGATACAATTTTTGATGAATGAATTGAATGGAAAACAGTAGAAGAAATTTCTATAAGAAATTCTTATGAGACAATTCAATAACCTTGAGAATTTTCTTCAGATTATAGATTGTACTGTAATACATTTCTGAGTTTTAAATAAATTTTTTGAGTTATTTGACAAATGTATATGTAAGCAAAAGATGGTTGGATTGTGCCAATACATTAGCCTCATGTTCATAGTCCACTGATGCATTTTGTTCATGTGCTCGAGGTTGTATCTCTTCTTCCACATACATAAGATCTCTTCCAAATTTATTGTTTAATATGGGGACCAAAAAACACTTCATTGTGCGTTATGAACATGACAGTAACATATTGGTGCAATCCAATCATCTTTCACTTACTATCCAATGCCAAAGATAAGATCAATGGGAATAGAGCCCCAGGGGTATATTCGGTTCCCATATTGAATGTATATGTATAGATATATACAATATTGTTGACAAATACTGTTCTTGATGTTTTAAGAGAGTTATAAAATACAAATAATTTTTAAAAAATGCAAAATTACTATACATTTATTGATCTGATAAAATTTTTTAATAACAAAAAAATATCATACAAAATATACTTCAATTTTTAATATCATCAAAGAATATAATGTAATATTAAATGAATTAATGTGAATAACATTACATAAAATAATTCTATTCAAAATATTTTTAAATTATTTTGTTATTCAAACAGTTTTCTTAAGCCTCTTAATAACTAATTACTTAAACTTTAATAATGAAGGAAAAATATTAAAATAAAACTAAAAATTATTTTAACTTTTATAAAATTGCCAAAAATTTCTATTTTTATTAAATAACTAAGATAACTTAACTATAGTTTTTAAAGACTAATGATAAAATTGAATAAGCTAATAACAAATAATAATTTTAAAGTAGTTTAAGAAGTAAGAAAATTAAAACAGTTTAAATACATAATAAATCAAATACTATTATTAATAGCTATTCTATTTTTTATGTGGTTACCTGAGGATAGCCATTCAAAATGGTTAAAAATGTTCATAATTAAAATGCATTTGCTGGAGATTTATATTATATTGCTGGCATTATATTAGTTGTTATTAAAGTTGATAGCAGACAAACAATACTAGATGAATTATTTATGATGATAAATAATTAATTAATTAAGTTTTCAGTTATATATATTTTAAAATTGTTTTGACATATCCTTTTAAAGATAGTAATACATCATTAATAAATTAAGAAAATTAAACCAGATTTATGCAAAGTCAATGTAACCAGAATTCTCTCCTATTGTAGTCATACTCACTCACTTTGCATAATGTTATCAGCTTAAGTCCAAGTGATTTTAATAAGTGGCATAATTAAGTTATATCTTGTTTAATAAAAAATATTGTTGAATATGTTTAAAATATTCACTTAAACTAATTCTCTGAAATTATCTTTGAAATTATTCTCTCATCTATTTTTAACTACATTTTTTAGTCATATTAAATTATTATTAGAAATATATTTTTAATAACTTTATTTATAATTTATGCACTACTTACATTTCATTACCATTGAAAACACCAAATATTAAATGTTTAAGAATACAAGAGAAAATAAAAATAACTTTATAATAATTAGTATTTTTTTTTTTTTTGTTATATTAAAACATTTTTTTTGAATATACTAGTAATCTTAATCTGTTTTATTGTATATCTGACAATTTTTATTAAATAGTTAGATATCCAGTTATTAATATAAAAGCTTATCCAATAATAAAAAAGTAATTTATCAGTAATTTAATGATTATTTTATATTTGTATTTATTAATAATGATTCAAAAGACTGGATAAATTTTTGTGTATTTAAAGATTATATTGTTATTGAAAAGTTTTAATTATATTTTCAACAGCTATAATGGTATAATAACAGAAACATTTAATTGTCTTTCTGTACAATATCTCTGCAAATTGTTATGAAGCCATCAATATATACCTGTTATATCCACATCCATCTATGAGATTAATGAAATGTAAACATTATCCTTCATCAGATGTACTCACCAGTATATTTAAAATCTTATAAGTTAAATAACTTTAATTAGAATAAACATCGCAACAGTTGCTTAGCTAGATTGCTTTGAATAGATAATGGTTAAATATTACATATTGTTAAATTCTATTTTAAGTCATATTTTACTTGTAAATTATTTGAAAATGGCAATCAATTACTTTATATTTAAACTTTTTAATTTTCCAATAATAATAAAATGAAATTATTTTTAATACTAAATAATTTTTTCCTGGTTTAATGAGTATTATTCTTGTATAATTATATCCATTGTACTATAATTAAACTAGAAAATCACTCATTAAATTTTCAAGAAAATGACCTTAAAATTTTATTTTAATTTCTTGGCAATACAATATAAATGTGCAAAAAGTACAAATGTAAGTATTGAAGTACTAAATTTAAATTAAATTTATTATTTCAACATTTATATTTAAACTTACTGAATCAATATCAGATTGTAAAAAAAATATGTATATTTAATTTTAATCTGATATTGAATAATATTGATATTCAATAGTTAGAAAATTTTATTTTTTTTTATTGAAATAAATTTTCTGATTATATATATAACCAGAGATTTTATCATTGAATCATTTAAAATATTGATCGTAGTTTAAAATTAAAGATAATTCTAAAATTTAAGTGAAATATTACTTTTTCCATTACTGTAATTATTCTAAAATCATACAAAATGTGATTTTAAAACATATTTTGTATATGAAATAAATAAAAGTTGTGTAAACTGTATAAAAATATTATTATTTGTAAAATTTTAAAAATTAAAATATAGCAACTTTTTTTGTAATATAAATTAGAAAATAAGATGTTTTATTGGGCTGCAACTTGAAAAAACTGTAGATGTATAAATTCTCACTTTTGTCTGTCTGTCTTTCCTTAATCTCAAGAATGGTGTTAGAGAAATGAAAAGACCAGATATGGAAAGCTTACAGGCAGGAGGCCCTGATTAATGATACATGAACTTCTGATGCAAGTCGGAAGTCATGTAAATTCAATTCAAAAATTTTCCCCTGAAAGGAGTTAGATAGATGACTAGCATGACTCTATTGTTAACATAAAAGTATGATGTACAGAGGCAAGCCACTACTAATTTGAGATGGAGAACATATATTTTAAATTAAATAAATTAAAAATATGATTAAAAATTGCAGCCTGGCATTGTGACAATATCACATTAAATAATTGCTCATTTATATTGATTTTACTGAATATTAATTTATAAATTTAAATGAACTTAATCTATATAAATTTGAAGATATGCCAAAGACATACAAAACAAGTTGTGTTTTATAATGTGTAAAAAAAAATTAATGAAGAGACTGAAGAAATTAACAAATTATTCTGTTGTGATAAAATACTTTTTTGTTTAATTTTAGACTTATTTTGAAATGGTTTAGTATATTATACACTGTATATGCATACTTGTATGCATGCACGTGTATTAAATACATGTAAATGCATCTAAGAAATTTGTATGTAGTTTATTTAGCGGAAAAACAAATGTTAAAATTAATTTTAATCATATTTCATTTGTTTGAATGTAAATAATTTAAGTTTGAAATACTTACATTTAGTGTATTTTTAATTTTGGTTTCAAAATTGAATTAATGAGTAACAGTTTAGACTTAGTTTCTTTTATATAGCTTAAAAATGAACTGTTTTTAGTTCCAGATGTCGAAGAGCATCTAATGCTGCAGCAACCATATCAGCTACTCTTTCAAACAGAACTAATTTGACAGGTAAAATATTGTTAATTGTTAAATTCTATCTTCTTAATTACAAAATTATTATGAAATATGCTTTATTTTTGAAAATACAATTGAAATTTAAAAAATAATAATAAAACAAATGAAAAACTATGACATATTAGTATTTTGTACTTTACTTTGATATAAATAATACGGACTTTTACTTCTGAAAATTTAAGTCTAGATGATATTTAACTTTTTAGTAATTAAGAATTGAAATTAAAATTTTTAAAATTTTGTGCTTATTATATATTAGCATCATTTTAAAGTTAATAGTTGAACATTAATATTAAATGATTTAAAAATTCATGAACTAAATCTTTAGAGGAGTTTCCTATGATTATAATATTGTAAATAATGTAATGCCATATCTATAATCAAAAAAATTGTTTAGTGAAATAAAATTTGGATTAGACAAACGATCATAAGCAACTTTCTTCCTTTTATTACAAAGCAAAGTACAGCTCATTTCATGAACCTTGGCCAGGCTGTACAAATGCACAGTAGCAGGGACCAGTCTATTTACTTAGCGAAGGGAACAAATTGACAAATTTGTGACAAGATCACTGTACCAAAAAAGGGCTCTTGAACTTTATAAAACTTCCAGAATTTCACCAAATAATGCAAATTGCCTGGCCAAATATATGAAATGATCTGTAAAATATTCATTTTTAAAATTTTCATACAAAACAAAAACTCTTTTTTTTTTTTTTTAAAGTAAATAGATCTGACATAAAGGTGAGGAGTTCAAGTTAAAATTTAATATGAATCACTATACACTGTAATGAATTTTGACTTTTTCATAGTTACATAATGGATTATAACAGATGACTATTGACTTATTAATTTATATATAACTCCACAATTAAATTAATTTTCCTATAATAAAAATGTTAAATGACTTTTACATACAAGGGAAAGCCCAGGCTCTCTAGGCACCTTCCTGATTATGCCAATTGTTGTTTTATATGTTATCACTTTTTAATGTTTTTAACTTTCAGTTATATATAATTTATCAGCTTAGCAAAAATATTTTTGGAATTGCTTTCCAATTACAGAATGAATGAATAAATTTCATTTAATGGAAAATGATTAGTAGCATTTTATTTATTTATTTATTTAATATAAAGGTGATGTCACAAGGATAATATTAGCATTCCCACCATACAACTAATGTACCATACATAGCAATCTCCATTAAAAGTAATTGAATATAAATTACTTTATTGCTCATTCTTTCTAATATAAATGTTAATTCTGATATTAATTGAATTCATTAAAAAATAAATTATTATTTTATTTATTACTTTTACAATAACATTTTCATTATTAAAATATTTAAAATGAAATAATTCAAAATTAACTTTCAGTTTAACTTTAAAATTTTAAATAACACTAAATATATTTACTGTTTACTATTATTTAACAATAAATATATTAAAACGATTATTTTTAAGAAAATTATTTTTTGTCCATTGAAAATTAATTGTAATCTCATCTTTCATTTTAAAAAGTAATATTATTTTCATTTTAATTCTGAATAATACTTTACTTTTTTCCCTCCAAATTAAAATAATTCCATTTTTAAGTGTTAAATTAGAAATAGAATCAATATGTTTGAATATTCTAAAAAAAAACCTTAAAAAATTTAATGTAAGTGGATTTTTGATTACTTATTCCATCTTAGAATGAAATACAATAATATATAATGATCAAAACTTAAATGGAGTTTTGAGTTCAGTTTCATTTTAACTTATAATATAAGTTTTATGCTGTTAAATTTCATATAATATTCATCATATTATTTTATTATATAAAGTGTGAAATTGAAATTTAAATATTATTATTTTTTAAATAAAATTTAAATTGTGAATGAATAATGTGATGATCTATTGAAATGTAATCTGTAAATAGTAATGTCAAAAAATTTAAACAAGAAACTAAACAAATAATATGCAAAAAAGTAATTCAATGTTATATATGAAACATAACTTCCTATTTTTAATTTAAGATAATTATATGAAATAATTCTACATTTTATTTTAGAAGTTAGCTAAAATTTTGATCTAGGTTATTTAAGAACATGATGTAATTACATACTGCATATTAAAGCAAATTTTTTTTCAAACTCTTAAATTGAAATTTTCTAAATTGTTATGGAATTAAATGCTGGATTTATTTACATAATTTAAAACTTTTAGATGATGATATTCAGAAATTGGCACAGGAAACATTAGAAGAACTGGACTGGTGCTTAGATCAGTTAGAAAGTATTCATGCACATCGTTCAGTAGGAGATATGGCTTCTAGCAAGGTATCTAACCAACTCAAAAATGATTATTATTACTGGATATTAGTTAAGTGTAGTATAGAATGGTTTTGAGAAATAATACTCAAATTATTTTAATTTTGAGGATTGTTCCTCTAAACTATTGAATATAAGCTGTTAAACATTTTATTTTGTATCAGTTTTTTGTTAATCAATGTTTTATGTTAATAATTTACATGCCCTTCAATATGAAATTTCTCAAATATTTTTCCTTTTTTTCTATGAAGAAATTTTTTTTATTCTGTTCTTTTATTAGTTGTTAGTTTTTATTGTTATCAAAAAACATGATATTCCAGCAGTAATGCCTTGCATTATTATATTTTATATCATATGAATTCATTTTATTAAATATTTTAATGACAAGAATTTGTTGATAGGAAAAAATAAATATTTGTAAAATATTCTGCAGAAATTCTTTTAATTTAAAGATTTATAATAATAAAAACAATAAATAACTTTAAAAATATAAAAGTATGGTATTAGGAATGTTCATTATAATAATCCTTATAATTTTTTATATAATAAATCTAACTTTGAAGAACTAAACTGCAAAAATTAAACACCATTTTTCTAGCTTTAGAATTTAAAATTTATTTTAAAACTTTATAAAGAAAAAAAAAAGATTTTAAATATTTGATTTGTATTATTATTTAAATTTTATATTATAATATCTGTTCAGTATTCTGTTCAATTTTAAAATTACATTTAATAATCTAATTTTGAAATATTAAATTTTTGTTTTATGTAAAATAATATTATAAGATAAATAATTAAAAATTTATTTTACAGTTTAAAAGAATGTTAAATAAAGAATTGAGCCATTTTTCTGAGTCTAAATCAGGAAGTCAGATATCAGAATATATTTGCAACACTTTCTTAGGTAAGAATTTAATTACAAAAAAATATTTTAGAATAATATATGAATTATATTTATTTCTATTTTTACTGTTTGTTTAAATAATTTGTATGTTTTAAATTTCCTGAATTTTACATATATACATATATGCAAAATTCAACTGAAAAACTATCATAATATATCTTTAGTATTTCAATGAATATTTAATTAAAAATAACATTTTAGACTCTATAAGCCATTCCTGTCATCCTTTTGAACATTGAATAAAAGAATTAAAAATAAGAATATCACTGTATGAAATTTTTATTTCAAACAAACAAAATAAATGATTCATATTTATATATACAGTAGAGCGTCGATTTTCCGAAAGTCAATCATCCGAAAGAATTCCAGTCGGCAAATTTAAATTTTCGCCAGTGCTGTGGCGCTTCAATTTTTGGCTATGTCTTGGGCTACTCAAATATTTTACGTTTTTGATACTAAATTAACATCTGAAGTATAATTTTTTATTGTTTTTATATTTTTCAATATATTTATTTTGTTTGTACAAAATAAAAAAATAATTTTTAACGATACAATAGTCTTTGTTAGGCTTAACATCGACGAAAATTCAATGCGAAGCGACACGCAACGGAGAAAAATTTCAACATCGGATATGTTAAACTATTTTTTCGTACATAAATCGGTTATCCAAAATATCAGTTATACGAACAACCCCAGTCCCCAATTGATTCGGAAAATCGACGCTCTACTGTATATGAATTATTTATTTTGTTTGTTTGAAATAAAAATTTCATACAGTGATATTCTTATTTTTAATTCTTTTATTCAATCCTTCATGTTTGTGTGTGTGTGTGTGTGTGTATGTGTATATATATATATATATATATATTATATAAATGAAGGATACGTGTGATGAATTTGTTATCAGACATTTAAGAATTAACTATTAACAGAAATTTCTAAGCTAAGAATAAGATGTAATTTTTACATCCTCTCTGGTTTTCTGCTTGTAGGTTTCATAAAGGTTGGCAAATTTAATATAAGATTTCTGACTTTTCTAATTATGACAGTATTCCAATTTCTAGTTGTGCAGTTGAAATTAAAATATACCACAGAAGATGTATATAAACTGAAAATGACTTGTAAAGAAAACCAGAAATGATACTTTTATTTTAATGTTTGCTGAAATATTAAAGATTATAAATAAATAACTTGTAAATATTGTATTTATATGCAATAAAATTTGCTTATTGTAATCATAGATATTGTTATTAGTAATTTAGGAACATGCTAATTGTGACTACATTAAACACAGAATTTGAAATATGATTATAAAACTTCACTTATTATCATCATTATCTTCAGGTAAATAGCACAAAAAAAAAAAAAGAAAGATTAAAATGTTCCTCAGCTATGCAGTCATTATCAGTCTGCTTTAAATGTTAATTGTTTCAACTGTTATGTAGCACACTAGTTTAAATTTCTGTCTTTTCTTTCTTTAATTATACTCTAGGTGAATAAAAAACAATGATAATTAAAATGAATAAATTTTCAAGTCCTACACTTGTTTTAACATGTCTTTTTAATATCAGAGTTAGTAAAATCAGAATTTCCAATAATTGTAGTTCCTAATTACTTATTCTACTTAATGCTAGTTAGTAGAGAGGTTCAGGCTGAAGTTTTAAACGTGAAAACGTGTATGTCGAACGTTCAGCACCGCTTTTCTGTAAAGTCTGCAATGGTGTTTGGGATGTTCAGCATGATTCCACTAACTATCCAAACACCGTTGTCAAACTTCTAGGCTTACAGGAAAGCGGCACTGAACGTCCAACATACACATTTTCGCGTTTAAAATTTCAGCCTCAACCTCGCTAGTGTTATCAATATAAATGAGTCTTCAAAGTGATCACAATAAGCAGATTCTATTGTATATTAAATTATTTTATAAATCAATTTTTTAATGAGAAAAGTCAGTTCATTAAATTCATTGAATTTTCCTTTAACATCTTTAGAATTAATAGAAGCCTAGAAGCTTGATAAACATTTGCTATTCAAGAAAAAATACAAACTTCTCCAATAATTTAACAGTTTGTTGTTAAAAATTTCCAAATAAAGAATTTCAAAAAGATAAACATAATACAAAAGCATAATTTTATCTATATTGCTTTATGTACAACAAACATTAAATTAAGTCATTGATTATCATTTAATGTCTAATGGAATAGATGATTGAAATAGACAATACTATACATTCCATATAAATTATTATTGTTTTATAAATTACTTATTGGATAATATTTGCAATAAATATTTATATGGTCATATTTTTTAATCCAGTATATTATAATGAAAAAATTCTAAAATATCAAATACTTACGAACAAAAGAAATGACAAAAATGTCTATATGCACTTTTTTAAAAACACAGGATGTGTACTTTACAATGAATGCAATGACATTATTTTACATGTTAATAAGAATTATAATAATGGAGCATTTTATTGAATTTGTAATTATTATTGGAAATAATGGACATTTAGTTTAACAGATATTTTTTTAGTTTGTTAAATTAATCATTATCTATTACATATTACAAAATTAATATAATTATCAATATCAATATTTCTGTATAATATATAAAGTTTTTAAATTAGTATACAGTCAACTTGCTTTAAAATGAACACTGATAAAGTGAATTTTGCTGTTTTCCTAGCAAAATGCCATTGAAAACTTATTATATTTTTTAGCTGGAACTGTTGTATAAATTGATACTATACTAACTCTTTCATATGCTTTCCAGCAGTTTTGATATATACATGAAGCAAATGTTTTCGGCCTCTTTCTTGGCCAGCATCAGGCTTTTTATTGAAGATTTTTTAGCCAAACATTTTAATCTGAAACACTTTTATCATTCAATTTTTTAAATTAAGCACTATATTTAAAAAAACTAGTTGATTGCCCATCATACATTACAATATATACAGAATACTATTGTAAACTCATATTTGTAAAAGTTCACTTACCCCTATTTCACTATATTTACCAATGAAAACATAGTCATTTCCACTTTTCTTTTATTCTTTCCACTCTTAACAAACCCATTGTCTTGGCCAGGCCACAATGGGGTAGACAAGTAGCAAGGGATGATGACAGATGTATCTGGAACAGACTACATTGAAAAACTACCTGGGGTTTCTCAACCTGTGTGGATTTGTTTCTGGATTCCCAGAGCAAGATCTCCCAGTATCACATTTTAACCATTTCCGTTCATTAGAAGTTTCATGAGCCTAATACAAATATGAAAATAAAATTTATTTAAAATGAAATGAAATAAAGCCTATACATATTTAGGTGTATTGTGTCCATCAGGAGTGGCAACACTGAGTGATAAAATAAAACGAAATAACATGAGGGACTGTCAACACCCACTGAACTCTGGTGGAAAAGTAAGTCTTTTTTGAGTTGACTCTCCTGGTGAGCACATGCATGTACAACGCATTGCAAAAGTTTCTTTGTATACCGTGATCATTGTATATATATTGTGTTTGGAGATTAAATGTATATATTTGAATCAAATTCTGTGATCATCTGACTGATCAATTGCACCACCAAGAGAACAATCAATGCACATGACCAAGACCATTGATAGTAGGGGGTTTGACATAACTTCTTCATTGAGCCTACTACACTATATTGAACAGAGCAAAAAACTAAATAAATTGAAGAATAAAGGCTTATTTTAAGATAGCAGGTAAAAGCTTGCTACCAATTATGATAAAATCCACATTGAAATAACATTCATTCTCAAATAGAAATAATGCTGGTTGAAAATAATTAACATATCTGCTCTGTACTTTCTAAGTCACTATCATTACAGAAAATGATCTCAAAAAAATTAAAAAGTATGAAAAGGAGGCAAATTTAATTATTATATTTAATTATTTAATTGGGGGCTGTCCATAAATGATGTCCACACTGGAAGGAGGGACACTGGTTATGATAAGTCGGACAAGGCAAAGGAAGGGTTGAGCATCAATGGACATCCCTTTATTTGATTAAATTTTATACAGTTTATGCATTTTTATTATATTCAAAATTTCTTTTATGTTTTGTAATACTTATGATATCTATCGTTCATAAAGCAATAAAGGTTTTTAGAAGGTTTGAGTTTGTTGGACATCAAAAGGGAGAAAAGGGTTACAGAAACTTGGACAAACTGGAACAAGAGAGTTGGGGAGTAAAAATTTTAAGAAAAAATGCAGACATAATTTATGGTCAGCCTCTTAATGATGATAATAAATATTACAATACAAATATTTATTTTTATTGACAAACAGTTAAAATGCTCACTATGTAATAATTGCTTATAATGAGCAAATAGAAGTGACATCATATGGCTATTATTCACACAGTGAATGACACTTGGAAACTACATATATGATATTATTACAATAAAAGAGAATTTTAAATATATTGAGTACTATTTAAGTCCTATAACAAATAATAGTTAAGTAAATTAATTAAATAGTACACCTAAAAATTTAAATAATGAAAATATTGTCCAAAATAATGGTATAACACAAAGATGTAAGTTGCTTAGCATTTATTCATTGTTTATTTCATTAATACAGTACCAAGTTTGGATATATTCTTTTAATATCTTTTTTATTCAAATTATTTTAAATGTTTTGAATTCAAATTTTGTTCTATTTCTGAATAGAATTATTAATTACTAAAAATAGTGTATATGTAAGATAATAAAATATCTGTTTATAAAAATGTAAATTAAAATTGCTTAATCATATTCTATTTTTTAGTATTAAATTTTATTTTCACATTTCTTAAATTGTCATGTAATTTATTGGTATTAGTCATATCTTAATTTTTTGAACAGGTTGTATTTCGATACTAACAAATTACTATCTACTAGCCTTAATATCTTACACTAATTTAGTCATACCATACTATATTGAATTTAACATGCATAAACAGATTACAACAAACATTCATCAGATTCATTTATTTTACAAATCTTAATATAGTGTTTGAATTGTTCTTGATTATTAAATAAACAGCTATACTATATTTCCAGTATACAAATTTTATTTACTTTCATTTTATTAGTTAATCTATTTTATATTTTATTATTGTAAAAAGAATTTGAAAAGTCAAATATCATAAAATAGATGGCCAGATGGCCAAGTGGTAAAGGTGGCATCCTATCGCTCTGGGAGACCCAGGATCAAATTCAGACAGGTCAAAAAATTCCCAGGAATTTTTCAGGGGTAGTTCGACTGATATGTCAGCCCTTGTCATCCCTCACCATCCAGCCACCCCATTGGGGGCCTGGTCAAACCCATAATGGGCTTATTTAAAGAGGCCCTCTTAGTGCCCACAGGGTGGAAAGAATAATTTAGAACTAAATCACATGGGCTAGTTCAAAATATAGTATTCAAATCGCACAAACAAGAGCAGTGGTTCTCAATCCATGTTCTACCTCAAGTGTCCACCAAACAAACAAATTTAAAGTTGATATTTCAAATTTATTTGAATATACCACAACATATTACTTTATTCATAGATAGTAAACAAGGAATTGCTTATCAATTTTTGAATACATTGATGATAATGTTCCATGTAATGAAAAATATATGAATGAACATACTCTACAGCCTCAGAAAGGTTCAGAACCACTGAACTAGAGAGTATAAATTTTACAGTTTAATATTAATACATTATTTTATAATTTTCAAATTACATATATTATTTATAGTTTTTATATTCATTTAATTTACTGAAATTATCAAATATTTCATCTAAATATGATAAAGTTTTGTTCTTAAACTTAAATAAAAATGTTTATAAAAACATTTTTCTAATATCTAAATAAAACAATGAAGTAATTGTATTAAATATTTATTCTAGATAAGCATGAATTAGATTTGCCATCTCTTCTGGATGATGAAAGTCAAACAATAAATAGTGGAGTTACAAAAACTCGGGGTACAATGTCACAGATCTCTGGTGTAAAAAAACCTCTGTGCCATACGAATAGTCTTACCAAGCTTCCAAAATATGGAGTAGAAACCCCTTACGAAGATGAATTAGGAAGAGTGCGTATTGGAAATTTTTTAAATTGTAAAACAGTTTACTTAAAATTTTTAAGTTTTTATATAAAAAAAGATTTATTTGAATATTTAATATGATATATATTTATTTATTTAATAACATCTGAACATTTTCAACCCTAATTCTCAACTAATAAAGTTCATCATTGATGTGTGTTTCAAATTAAATTTCTTGAAATAAATTTTAAATTTTTGCTCAAAATTGATTTAATATTTAAATACAGCAGAAATTAAATATGGTAATGATGATGATATATGAAAATTTAATTTTTTGTGTATGTTAATGATAAAATTTTCATATTTTTTTAAAATAATGCTATTGATAAATTATTATTAATTAACACATAGATCAGCAGATGTAATAATTATACTATTTCAGATAAAACTAAAATCTTGTAAGAAAATAATAATTGATGTAAATTTTCAATTTATTGTTTGTAAAATGTATATTTTTTTTTTGAAAATTGTAATTACTTAGCCCCTGAGTAACAGGTTTTCCATTCTTTATACTAATAAAGATTGATGATGATAATTATACTATTTCTGATTTATTGAATTTAATCATTTTCTATTAAAATTGAAATTTAAAAAATTAATTTTATTAAAATTTTATATCAAAGCATTATTTTGACATGANTAGAAAATAAGATGTTTTATTGGGCTGCAACTTGAAAAAACTGTAGATGTATAAATTCTCACTTTTGTCTGTCTGTCTTTCCTTAATCTCAAGAATGGTGTTAGAGAAATGAAAAGACCAGATATGGAAAGCTTACAGGCAGGAGGCCCTGATTAATGATACATGAACTTCTGATGCAAGTCGGAAGTCATGTAAATTCAATTCAAAAATTTTCCCCTGAAAGGAGTTAGATAGATGACTAGCATGACTCTATTGTTAACATAAAAGTATGATGTACAGAGGCAAGCCACTACTAATTTGAGATGGAGAACATATATTTTAAATTAAATAAATTAAAAATATGATTAAAAATTGCAGCCTGGCATTGTGACAATATCACATTAAATAATTGCTCATTTATATTGATTTTACTGAATATTAATTTATAAATTTAAATGAACTTAATCTATATAAATTTGAAGATATGCCAAAGACATACAAAACAAGTTGTGTTTTATAATGTGTAAAAAAAAATTAATGAAGAGACTGAAGAAATTAACAAATTATTCTGTTGTGATAAAATACTTTTTTGTTTAATTTTAGACTTATTTTGAAATGGTTTAGTATATTATACACTGTATATGCATACTTGTATGCATGCACGTGTATTAAATACATGTAAATGCATCTAAGAAATTTGTATGTAGTTTATTTAGCGGAAAAACAAATGTTAAAATTAATTTTAATCATATTTCATTTGTTTGAATGTAAATAATTTAAGTTTGAAATACTTACATTTAGTGTATTTTTAATTTTGGTTTCAAAATTGAATTAATGAGTAACAGTTTAGACTTAGTTTCTTTTATATAGCTTAAAAATGAACTGTTTTTAGTTCCAGATGTCGAAGAGCATCTAATGCTGCAGCAACCATATCAGCTACTCTTTCAAACAGAACTAATTTGACAGGTAAAATATTGTTAATTGTTAAATTCTATCTTCTTAATTACAAAATTATTATGAAATATGCTTTATTTTTGAAAATACAATTGAAATTTAAAAAATAATAATAAAACAAATGAAAAACTATGACATATTAGTATTTTGTACTTTACTTTGATATAAATAATACGGACTTTTACTTCTGAAAATTTAAGTCTAGATGATATTTAACTTTTTAGTAATTAAGAATTGAAATTAAAATTTTTAAAATTTTGTGCTTATTATATATTAGCATCATTTTAAAGTTAATAGTTGAACATTAATATTAAATGATTTAAAAATTCATGAACTAAATCTTTAGAGGAGTTTCCTATGATTATAATATTGTAAATAATGTAATGCCATATCTATAATCAAAAAAATTGTTTAGTGAAATAAAATTTGGATTAGACAAACGATCATAAGCAACTTTCTTCCTTTTATTACAAAGCAAAGTACAGCTCATTTCATGAACCTTGGCCAGGCTGTACAAATGCACAGTAGCAGGGACCAGTCTATTTACTTAGCGAAGGGAACAAATTGACAAATTTGTGACAAGATCACTGTACCAAAAAAGGGCTCTTGAACTTTATAAAACTTCCAGAATTTCACCAAATAATGCAAATTGCCTGGCCAAATATATGAAATGATCTGTAAAATATTCATTTTTAAAATTTTCATACAAAACAAAAACTCTTTTTTTTTTTTTTTAAAGTAAATAGATCTGACATAAAGGTGAGGAGTTCAAGTTAAAATTTAATATGAATCACTATACACTGTAATGAATTTTGACTTTTTCATAGTTACATAATGGATTATAACAGATGACTATTGACTTATTAATTTATATATAACTCCACAATTAAATTAATTTTCCTATAATAAAAATGCTAAATGACTTTTACATACAAGGGAAAGCCCAGGCTCTCTAGGCACCTTCCTGATTATGCCAATTGTTGTTTTATATGTTATCACTTTTTAATGTTTTTAACTTTCAGTTATATATAATTTATCAGCTTAGCAAAAATATTTTTGGAATTGCTTTCCAATTACAGAATGAATGAATAAATTTCATTTAATGGAAAATGATTAGTAGCATTTTATTTATTTATTTATTTAATATAAAGGTGATGTCACAAGGATAATATTAGCATTCCCACCATACAACTAATGTACCATACATAGCAATCTCCATTAAAAGTAATTGAATATAAATTACTTTATTGCTCATTCTTTCTAATATAAATGTTAATTCTGATATTAATTGAATTCATTAAAAAATAAATTATTATTTTATTTATTACTTTTACAATAACATTTTCATTATTAAAATATTTAAAATGAAATAATTCAAAATTAACTTTCAGTTTAACTTTAAAATTTTAAATAACACTAAATATATTTACTGTTTACTATTATTTAACAATAAATATATTAAAACGATTATTTTTAAGAAAATTATTTTTTGTCCATTGAAAATTAATTGTAATCTCATCTTTCATTTTAAAAAGTAATATTATTTTCATTTTAATTCTGAATAATACTTTACTTTTTTCCCTCCAAATTAAAATAATTCCATTTTTAAGTGTTAAATTAGAAATAGAATCAATATGTTTGAATATTCTAAAAAAAAACCTTAAAAAATTTAATGTAAGTGGATTTTTGATTACTTATTCCATCTTAGAATGAAATACAATAATATATAATGATCAAAACTTAAATGGAGTTTTGAGTTCAGTTTCATTTTAACTTATAATATAAGTTTTATGCTGTTAAATTTCATATAATATTCATCATATTATTTTATTATATAAAGTGTGAAATTGAAATTTAAATATTATTATTTTTTAAATAAAATTTAAATTGTGAATGAATAATGTGATGATCTATTGAAATGTAATCTGTAAATAGTAATGTCAAAAAATTTAAACAAGAAACTAAACAAATAATATGCAAAAAAGTAATTCAATGTTATATATGAAACATAACTTCCTATTTTTAATTTAAGATAATTATATGAAATAATTCTACATTTTATTTTAGAAGTTAGCTAAAATTTTGATCTAGGTTATTTAAGAACATGATGTAATTACATACTGCATATTAAAGCAAATTTTTTTTCAAACTCTTAAATTGAAATTTTCTAAATTGTTATGGAATTAAATGCTGGATTTATTTACATAATTTAAAACTTTTAGATGATGATATTCAGAAATTGGCACAGGAAACATTAGAAGAACTGGACTGGTGCTTAGATCAGTTAGAAAGTATTCATGCACATCGTTCAGTAGGAGATATGGCTTCTAGCAAGGTATCTAACCAACTCAAAAATGATTATTATTACTGGATATTAGTTAAGTGTAGTATAGAATGGTTTTGAGAAATAATACTCAAATTATTTTAATTTTGAGGATTGTTCCTCTAAACTATTGAATATAAGCTGTTAAACATTTTATTTTGTATCAGTTTTTTGTTAATCAATGTTTTATGTTAATAATTTACATGCCCTTCAATATGAAATTTCTCAAATATTTTTCCTTTTTTTCTATGAAGAAATTTTTTTTATTCTGTTCTTTTATTAGTTGTTAGTTTTTATTGTTATCAAAAAACATGATATTCCAGCAGTAATGCCTTGCATTATTATATTTTATATCATATGAATTCATTTTATTAAATATTTTAATGACAAGAATTTGTTGATAGGAAAAAATAAATATTTGTAAAATATTCTGCAGAAATTCTTTTAATTTAAAGATTTATAATAATAAAAACAATAAATAACTTTAAAAATATAAAAGTATGGTATTAGGAATGTTCATTATAATAATCCTTATAATTTTTTATATAATAAATCTAACTTTGAAGAACTAAACTGCAAAAATTAAACACCATTTTTCTAGCTTTAGAATTTAAAATTTATTTTAAAACTTTATAAAGAAAAAAAAAAGATTTTAAATATTTGATTTGTATTATTATTTAAATTTTATATTATAATATCTGTTCAGTATTCTGTTCAATTTTAAAATTACATTTAATAATCTAATTTTGAAATATTAAATTTTTGTTTTATGTAAAATAATATTATAAGATAAATAATTAAAAATTTATTTTACAGTTTAAAAGAATGTTAAATAAAGAATTGAGCCATTTTTCTGAGTCTAAATCAGGAAGTCAGATATCAGAATATATTTGCAACACTTTCTTAGGTAAGAATTTAATTACAAAAAAATATTTTAGAATAATATATGAATTATATTTATTTCTATTTTTACTGTTTGTTTAAATAATTTGTATGTTTTAAATTTCCTGAATTTTACATATATACATATATGCAAAATTCAACTGAAAAACTATCATAATATATCTTTAGTATTTCAATGAATATTTAATTAAAAATAACATTTTAGACTCTATAAGCCATTCCTGTCATCCTTTTGAACATTGAATAAAAGAATTAAAAATAAGAATATCACTGTATGAAATTTTTATTTCAAACAAACAAAATAAATGATTCATATTTATATATACAGTAGAGCGTCGATTTTCCGAAAGTCAATCATCCGAAAGAATTCCAGTCGGCAAATTTAAATTTTCGCCAGTGCTGTGGCGCTTCAATTTTTGGCTATGTCTTGGGCTACTCAAATATTTTACGTTTTTGATACTAAATTAACATCTGAAGTATAATTTTTTATTGTTTTTATATTTTTCAATATATTTATTTTGTTTGTACAAAATAAAAAAATAATTTTTAACGATACAATAGTCTTNTTCACTGTACTACTATTTATAATTTATTTATTGCAAATAAATTATAAATAAACAAAATTGTAGGAAAGTAAAAGTTTAATTTTAGTTCTCTAATAATTTTACTATTTTCATTTCTATTAATTTGTGTAATGTTCAAGTATTTAATTAAACCATTTCAGGTATTACAAGATATTGATCGTTGGGGAATAGATATATTTGAAATTGCAGAAGTTTCTAATCATCGACCTTTAACAGCAGTTACTTATACTATTTTTAGAGTGAGTGATTTAGATATAGAATAATTTTAAATTATATTGTATCTATTAATAAAAATCTGCAAAAAAATTTTTAATCTTATAATTCATTTTGAGTTTGTTTTCTATGAATTTGTTTAAATTCAAAATTCTGGTGAACTATTTTTACAGTAAAAGATACATAATTTATATTTTCAGTTTAGACAATATTAAGACATTATCTGGAAAATTTGAAATTATTCCTTCAATTTGAATAATTTTTAATTTATATAATGATGAAAAACATGTTATGAAAAAAAATTTATTTATACAAAACTTATTTTTATGTATAGTTTTTATGTAATACATTTATTATTGGTCTATTTGAATTTACTTTTGAATAAAATAAAACATGGTAAAGAAGGATAAAAAAAAAGTGAAAAGAATATTGAAACTTTTATATTGATGAAATACTAAAATATTCTATTTAAAATAAACATGACATTTTTTTAAATGCTTTATTCAGAAAGTTACAAGTATAAAAAGATAAGTCTCTTAGCACTTTAAATGTTTTTGGCTCGTAATAATTCTAAATTTGGAACTTTTATCTTCCTTTTTCATCCTCTTTAAAGATGAGCAGATTGAATGTTTTTTACATGCAAAACCTCTGAATAAAATATTTATACTGTTACTTTTAGTCATTTTATTTTCTAAAATATTTTATCTTGAGTTTACAAAGAAAAATTGTATGTAATATTTTGATATAAAGATACTGAATTTTCATATTTAAATATAAATTTCAGTATTTTTAGCTTTTAAGAATTTTGTTCCATTTTAATCAGTTTTTGCATAATAAAACAGAAAATTTCACAATGTTAAAATTTATTTACATTTTGTAAGTTAAAACTTTTTGAACTATAGATCAGTCTCATTTGTCAAATCAGATTTCCTCTAAAAAGACAAAGGATGAGTCTCACTCAGTTTTACATGTTATTTGATAGAGCTGGATGGCTTAGATGTATCTATAGTCAATGAGGAAGTACATTTAATGAAAAAATTATTATTTTTACTGCTAAGTGGCATGTATTGTTTAACATTTTGATGTTTTATAAAATGGCTACAAACTGAAAGTTATCAGTTGATTAAGATTTACATTTAATAAATGATAATGCCAGGTCAAAAGTAGAACTAAAAGCTTGTCTCAGTCCCAAATAAGTGCTAAATAAAATGTTTGAATTTTTTTTTTTTTATTCCAGGCTATATTAGATGTTTTTTTCAATTTAAAAGTGGACATTCTTTTCTAAATTTTTAAAACGTTTTTTTTTTTTTAATCACTATTCAGTTAACTAATAATCTTTAAAGATTGTAAATTTTTGAATTTGATTAATGTTCTACATTTTCAATGACAGTATATCAGAGAAAATGTGATTAAGAATTGAATATACAAAATACTTACTATCTTTTGAAATTAAAATCAATATAAAACTAACTTTGTATTTTATAGTAAAGTAAAATATTTATTAAAAACAAATATTTTAATATTTTAAAAAAGTTGAATATTAACTAGTATTTTAAAATAATTGTCTTCTCTAATCATAAATAAATTTATCTAAATGAAAATTTTTTAATGTAATGCATGTTACTCTATATAATTGAAAAAATATAATTTCTATTTTATTTTTATTTATTTTATTAAATATATTTTGATAGTTTTAACAACACTTTCAACTATGCTTAATATATTTTTAAAGATTTAATAAAATAATTATAATTTTTTAAAACAATTTAAATTAATATTTAGTTATTAAAATTTTAATTTTAGATAACAATGAAATGAAGTAGTATAAATTTGTATACTTGTAGGAAAGAGATTTATTGAAAACCTTCAAAATTCCATCAAAATCATTTCTAAATTTCCTTTTTACTTTGGAAGATCATTACTTAAAAGTGCCATATCACAGCAGCAATCATGCTGCAGATGTTACACAATCTGTTCATGCACTACTACTCTCTCCTGCTTTAGATGTGAGTATATTTTTGATTATTAGTTAACATATTGGATGTATCACTGCATCATTAAATTAATGATTCAAGTTACAATAGTCAAAACACTTACCAAATAATCACATTTTTTTTTTTTTTTCATTTATTTCAATTATTTATTATGAAAAAATTATTTCTCCATTCAATCTGAACTAGTTTGCTTTAAAATAAATGTTTTCAGTGGATCTGAGATATGTGACATATGGACAAACTTTTTGAATCTAAGATTCAAATAATCAATTTTTTAAAACAGCAGAGAGAATAAAACAGAAATTCAAAACTTTTGTTCAAATTTAGTATTAATTATTTTACTATGCACTTTAAATTTTCAAATGCTATAAATCATAGGGTTGACAAATGCTTAAAAACGTTCTAATTTTATATCAATATGTGTCAGTGTGTGTCAGACTAAAAACATAATATATCAATATTTTAAAATATATAATTAAATATTGTAGCTTTAAACCAATTTAATTTAATAAGAATTAACAAATTTGCGAATCAGATGTTTATACTAACTAAACAATTATGATTGTGTTTTAAAGGAATTTTTATAAATTTAATTTTTTGAAAATTCAAAACATAACTTATATGTATTATATTCCATTTTCATATTTGTTTTTACAAAACTGAAAGCTGATTTTGTATTTTTCCAATTTTTAAAACTTATAATTTGAACTTTTATTGAAAAGAAATTATAAAATAATTAAACAAACATCATTAAAAAATAATCAATCAAATATGTTTTGTAATAACAAACAACGTAATTATTATATTACGTAACATAATAACAATTACATTACATAAAATGGTATATGTTTTGATGAATAATTTGTTCTAGTTTATATTAACACCAATATTGTCTGTAATTAAAAAACATTATTATATATATATATATATATATATTATGTTACTATATATCTATACATTACTGTAAAATTTTCTGTAGAATTTTGTTATAAATTTTTAAAATAATTATTATATTTTTTCAGCCTGTCATATTCTGATATTCTGCAATTCTGTATATTTATGAATTACATGATATGAACTTCATTAATGTTGCTAGAATTCTTACAGCAGCATTAAATTACATTAGAAATGCAACAATAAAATTTGTAATTTCTCAGTAAAAATCATTAATGGTAATTATCATCATTAATGATTTAAGAATATGATCAATGATTTTTGATATTGAGAAATTACAAATGTTGTTATTGCATTTTTAATATAAAATTATTTTTAAAAGTAGTCATTGTATTGTAATTAAATATTTTTTGTATATGTAGTAGGAAATTTTAAAGATATATTTTTGTTAATTTAAAAGAAAATGGAATTATTACACTTATTTTCTATCAGAATATTAAATTTTTTGAAGATCTAAAAATATATACATTTTACCTGCCAAAATTCTTGCACTATTTCTGTCTAATAGTTTATGCCAATTTTTCAATAAGAAAGTTGAGTGAAATATAAAAAACTGTAGTCTTATTTCTATTAAAATTTACTATATATACATTTGTTATTAATATATAAAATAAATTACATTAATTTTATTTCAGACTAATATTTTGAATTAATTTAAATTCAATTATTCAAAATATTAGTCCAAAATAAAATTATATTAATACATTAAATATATTAATAACAAATATATATTTAGTAGAAAATAGCAGGTTAGGAATGTTATCCTACTGTATTTTTAAGAAACATTGTGCAATGCAAATTTTTAAAAATAACTTTATTCTGTTACTGTAAACATCTAATGACCATTTTTTTCTTTTCTGTTTTATGCCAAATAGTAATTAATTAAATATAAATTTCTAGAACAATCTAAAAATTACAGTTCAAAGCTGAAAAGAAACTAGATATTTTAATTATTTCATAAAAAGAAATTTGATTTGAAATTTTCAAGCAATGCTCATCATGAAAAAACAGTAAAATATATTTTTGATACAATTAAAACAATTTGCTATTTTATTACAAAATACTCTTTGTATGAATTTTAAATTTATGCAAAATCATACATAATATCATATCATTGATGTACTGTACAGTACTGTATTTTATAAATTTCAGTATGATTTTCTGTTTTCATAAATAATAATAATAATAAATTTCCTAATACTAATAAACAGAAATTATTCTATATTTTTTAATATATTGTTTCATTTTATATGTTTTTTAATTGAACTTTTTAAATACCTATTTCTTTAATTAAAAAGAACAAAAAATAATCTTTGCCTTTTATATTTTTATTGTATAATAAATAAAATATATATGACCAATATTTTATATATTTTAGAAATATAAACATAAAAAAATATTTTGCTTATATTATAAGCAAATTTTTACAAAAATATTTTTATTGTAATATATGAGTGCATGTTTCACACTTAAGACTACAGAAGTCATGTATCATATATAAAATAGTTTTCTAATGAGACATCTATACATATTTATGAAAATAAGTTTTATTAATAATTGTATTTAATTTTTTGTTATTTTGGAAATTTTGAAATTCTTTATTACATTCACATAAAGTTAAATATTTTTAGAAACTTGTCAAAATTCATCAACAAAATCAAAATTAACATTTTGTGTGTAAAGAGAGATTTGCAATATTTTCTCTTATTAGAACTAGGGCTGTGGAATCAGTAAACAAAACCTCTGACTCCAACTCTTCAGTTTTTAAATCTTCAACTCTAACTTCTTCATCAAAGCCCAATGCTTTAATAATAGTAAACATACTAAAATGGTAAATAATATCTTAAACATTTTGTCACCACCATGTAAATCTTCAGGCTACTTTTTAGATTTATAACCTATATTTATAAATAGTATGTAATGGAATAGTTGAACATTAAACATATTTTAAAAATACTTTTTAAATTATATTTTTCATTAATATTAAAATTTCAATTAAACTTTCTAAAGACAAATATTTTCATTTGTTTTATTGATTTTTTTAAAATTAATATGCAATTTTTAAATAGCTGAACTAAAATTTTGTAATTTGATTATTCAAGGTAAAGAAAATATAAAAGTATATATAAAGTACAAATTACAGACATTAAATAGAAATAAATTTTGGTAATAAATTAAGATGATTATCTAAATAATTAATCTTTTAATTTGAAAATTGTAATATACAGTGTATATTTAGTATATTTAAAACTAATTTTTTTTTTAGTCTGTTTTTAGTGATCTAGAAATTCTGGCAGCTCTATTTTCAGCTGCACTGCATGATGTGGATCATCCTGGTTTAACAAATCAATATTTAGTGAATTCAAGTAAGCTTTTAAAAACAAAACAGTAACTTTTTTATATTTTTCATATATTTATAAATTGATAAATAGGTGACATTTTAATAATTAATGTTTTAAGGTTCAGAGCTGGCTTTGATGTATAATGATGAATCAGTATTGGAAAATCATTCTTTAGCTGTAGGATTTAAAATCTTGCAAGATGAAAATTGTAATATATTTGTTAATTTAAGTAAAAAACAACGACAGACTGTTAGAAAAATGGCTATTGATATGGTAAGTAATTAAAGTTCATAATAAACAATGTAAATATACAAGAATAAATCAAAGAGTAGAGACTATTTTTATTAAATAAAAAAAAAATATGCAGGAATTTTAATATTAGTTTTCAACATAGTTTACTTGCTTCTTTAAAATTATCAATCCGTAAGCTTCTTGTGTCATCTAAGAAAAACATTTTCATTTGTTCAATAAACAATTTATACACTGCTTCTTCAGTATTTAAGAATAATATGCAAATATGTAACTTTATAACAATATTAGAAACAATAATATATTTTCTTGAATAGAGAATTGACTTAATCAATAATAATAATAATAATAATAATAACTCTCCCGTGGTCACCACCTGGTCGTGGTGGGAGAGCCCAGTAATTTTACTGAACCATAGGGCAATGCAGGCTGGAGCACAAGCTCCTGGTAGGGACACCCATGCCAGTAAGGTCTATGGGGAGAAATGAAGCTAAGAGTGACCACACACCCACATTCTGTGGAGAAATTTATGATGGTAGTAACCAGATCAAAGTATGATACCGGCTCGGACGTCGCCCGGGTTAACAAGGTCCGCGTTCGTGGGTTAGGCAGAGGCTCACGTTCGAAAAATAGGC